TCTGAGGGAGGAACCGATATGGAAATAGAGTTCTACGGGACCAGCAACACTGTTGCCGTATATGCTTTCCTTCCTACATTTTCTGGCGTGCAAAAGTCTCAGATTGTATCAAGTAGAATATCCAGCTGCAATTCGGCATCATTCTGCTTTTCAAGAGTGAAGGTGCAGGCTCCAAAGTCAATTGATGCATCAGATGTACTTGTTCAGCTGGTTAACGGGGACATTAAACAAAATCTCACCATATCCTACTTCCTACTTCCTAAGATTGTGTCTGTAAAACCAACTGGGTCGTCTGTCAGGGGTGGAGATCCTATTAGGATCTCTCTCAACAATTTCCCTTCGATTTCTACTGCTTTGGACGTTGAGGTTTATTTCGGTTCAACCCGAGCCAGAGTTTCGCAAGTCGTGGGAAGCAACGACATCATCTGCGAGTCTCCTGCGTCCACCACAATTGGAAGCGTTCAGCTATCCATCATTCCATCCACGATCAGTTCGTTGCAGGAGAGAGCAGATATGACTGTGGCAAGCCCGTTCTCTTACACTCGTCCAGTCGCACAAGTGTTGGGCATGGTTCCATCCCGAGGCTCATTACAAGGAGGAGTCGTTGTCAGGATGACAATTTCTCATTTCCCGCATACTTTGACAGAGTCTGATGTGTCGATCGTCTTTAGTGGAAAGCAGCAGGCAGTAGTCACCAAGATCGTACAGTCAGACTCATCTTCAGGTGAATCTATCGTTGACGTCATGATGCCTGCTCTTCCTGTAGGGTTGCAACAAGCTGACCTCGTGGTGCATGACACCTACGACTCTGCCGCTGTCTTCTACTTTGAATCCTACGACTCGACTGTGCAGCTCACATGCTACCGACTTGCAGCATACAATCTCAACAGTCCCGTAAACATTGCTGGCGACTGCAAGGGGGGCGTAGATGGAACCGATTTTCTTCTTCTTGGATTGACTAACATTGGGCAAATTGGATCGTTCGGCGATTTGGCCATCAGTTTCGGTTCGGAATATGCTACAGTCGGGAAGCTGATCAATTCTACCCTTCAAAAGACTTATGTAGTTGTGTCGGTGCCTCCCAACAACTTCTACACAGTCTCAACAGTGATAGATCTGACCGTCTCTAACGTGAAGACAATCCTCAGCAACTTGCAGGGAAGAGGGAAATTTCAGTACATTGCGGCTCCGAGTTTGTTCTCCTCCTCATTTGATCCATTAGGCTCTTCTTTGACCGTTACATTCTCGGACAGCACCAACATCTTTTCTCTGCAAATCTCTCAGCTGTCAAGTTGCTCCTCCTTCCTTGACACCGGAACTTCACAACCGTTCGGGAAGTCTGCCAAGTGCACGTGGGTGAACGATTATACTTTGAGTATCATCCTGTCTTATGATAGTACAGTTGTGGTCAATGACATTCTAAGGCTAAAGACAGGCGTTATCAAACATGTTTCAGGCCTCGGACCATTTTCGAGCGGAAATATCCAGATTCAAGGCCCCAGTCTTCTCATTAAACCTGTCTTTCAGCTGTCGGGACCGCAACAGGTGGGTCCTTGCGATGATGCAGAGATAATGGCCCTGGGAACGTTCTCAAGGCCTCTGACATACTCTTGGAGTTGTCTGGGGTGTTCAAATGCTGTACAAACCCGACTCTCGCTTGCTACAAGTGATGTTATTGTTCTATCCAGTTCTGATCTCTCGAACTCTGGGAACTCCTACCTGATACAAGTGTACGGTGTTAACTTTCTCGGAGTCAAGAGTGACACACTCAGCCTCCGGTTTGACCGAACTTCTCTGCCCATTCCAGTTGTAAGTTTGTCAGGATTCGACACGTACTCAAAGAATGACGACATCATCATAGAGGCAAAAACTGCATTCTCAAGATGCAGCGCGGAGATGGAATTGCAATTTGCTTGGGAGCAAGTCAATCAAGCGAATGCCTTGACATCTGGAATGATACCTGCTTCTGTGCTTGCAAGAAATACTCCTACATTCTTTTTGCCCAAAGGTACCCTGATGGTGCCTGGACCGTATTCGCTCAGACTGACCGTGACCCTGCCGACAAACCCTCCCACGTCAACGACTGTGAGCACATCTTTCACGCTCCTAGCCTCAGCTCTTGTTGCTGTCATCCGGAACGGAGATTCCACGATAGGTCGAGGAAGCTCACAGTTGAATCTAGATGCATCAGGTTCGAAGGATCCTGATTTCACTGGAGGTCAGGAGGACCCGACCTTGAGCTTTGTGTGGAGTTGCAAAGTCCAGGGAATGATTTGCAGGGATCGAGTGAGTAACATACCGTTTTCATTTCCCAGCGCTGCCAAACTTTCGATGTACACAGAAGGATTTGACGTTAATGTTCAATATCTTTTCACCATTGAAGTTAGAAAAGACTCACGAGTTGCTAGCACAACCACCACCATGACATTCGTTGACGAGTACGTTCCAATCACCACAATATCATCTACGTCGACGATGCTGGTGAAGGGCGAAAATGTTCTCAACCCGTTTCAGACCTTGGCCATCGTTGAGTACTCTTGCACATCGTGCAGCTACTATCAATGGCAACTTGTGGACCAAGGGACTACTATTGTTCTTTCTGAGACAAGCAACGAACTCTTCGTGCCCTCATCATACTTCCAACAAGGTCGATACTACACCGTCATCGTCACAAGTTTTCAAGAACCAGCTGCTGGTCAATATTGCAGTGGCATGTGCAAAGGATCCGCATTCTTCCAGTTTCGAGTCAATCGTGCTCCTTCAGGTGGCCAGTGTGCGGTCCAGCCCACGGCAGGCTACGAGTTGGACACGAAGTTCCAAGTGCAATGTGGAAGTTTTTCTGACACTGATTTGCCGCTGTCGTTTCAGTTCAGTTACAACGTCAAGAATGGAAGTGAAGCACCCGCTTTCACCCCTTCGTCATCGCCCATTCGAAACCTCTACCTGCCATCAGGAGAAGTAGACATTTCTGTAATTGCAATCGACAGTTTGGGAGCTCAGTCACTTTATGTCCTTGACCCCATCGTCGTCCTTCCCATCTCTGCCATCGCTCCGACAGCTGCGCAGCAAGCCCTTGACACGTTCGTTCAGTTGGGAAAATCTTCTGATTTCAGCAATTATGCCATCTCCTTGACGCAGAAGCTTTCCAAGGATAGTCTGAGTCTTCGGAGACTGGCTCGTCGCCAAGGCATCCAGACTGACAATGTCATGATTCGGAGTAATGCTGTCATTTCATTGTCGCTGATTATCTCAAAACAAGTGCCGTCTGCTGGCAATGTCTTGCAGACCATCGGTACCTTAACGTTCCTTGTAAACAGTTCAGAACCTTTGACCATGGAGGCCGCCGTCATTGCTGTTGACATTTTGAACAATATTACTACTTTGATCCCAGCCGTCTTTGAGCTTTCACTTGCTAGGCCTGACGTTCAACAAATCTATTACATAGTTTCGAAACTGAAAGACCAGACGTTGGCAACGAGTGTGCTATCAGTTTCTACAAAGACAAATTGCATGAGCAAGCTTGTGACATCTACGTCTATTGCAACTTACCATGGTGTCTTCGACTTCATTTCCCCTCAAAATAATTTGATTTGTGACTCAATGTGTGCCTCAATGAACAATCAGATTGTCATGTACAAATGGAAATCCGACTTTGCAAAGATACTTGAACCCACAGACATGCCGTATAAATCGCAATTCATGCAGGTGAACATCTCTGAAGGAATATCAGTCTATATATCTCCTAGTGCAGAACAAAGCACCTCTTTGTATGTCTACATGTATCTTTGGAAACGACCGTTACAGACAAACAACCCTTCTGAAACTCTTATTTCTGACGCGCATCAATTCATTCTTGGTTACAGTACCCAGGGCGGGGTCAGAATGTCTGTGGGTTTGTTGAGATATGTAACAAGGATTCCTGTGACTCAAACGGACCTTTCGAGAACACTATGGCACTGCTTGTTGTGGACAGATGGTTGGAGCAGCAAGGTTTGTTCTCCTGTCGGATTTGCATCGAATGTTGCGATTTGCGATTGCAATCAACATGGTTTGATGGCCATCTCTACCTCTACAGTCGACATATGTGGTAAGTGGCAACCGCCAACAAAAATGTCTCCAAGTCTTGAATTTCTCACGCTGAATTTGCAGGTGACGGACGAGTCACTGGTTCGGAGCAGTGCGACGATGGAAACCTTTTGAGCTCAGACGGTTGCAGCGCAAGTTGTGTACTAGAAAATGGATTCCTGTGTGAGCGCGGGAACAGTATTCTTCCCACCAAATGTGTCAAGACAAGCTCTGGTCCAAGCTCTGCACAATGCAAACCACAGATGCTGGGGCTGAACTGTGAGTTACTCTGCCTTGGTAGAATCGTCGACAACCAGTGTACCGCCCAGACATCGCGACCGCTCCTGACTAGAGCTGAGTCTGTGGACGGATCTCGCGGAGCAAATGTTTCTTTGGAAGGTTGGGGGAATCTCAGCCTACCCGCTGGATTCTACAACGGCAAGCTGGATTTGACCGTTAGTGTCTATGACCAGGTTCCTCTTTCATCTGAGCCTGGCAATGGTCCAACCCTCGTCTTTGAGCCAACCGGCGTGATATTTTCCAAGGCACTGACACTTGAGTTGTCCACAATGCACATCAACGAAGCAAATTCAGTGCCTGTTGCCCTGTATTATCTCAATCCTGCGGACAACTCATGGGAATATGTGCAGAGCAGTCTCGACGCTGGAACTATGACTCTCACAGCTTACCTGCAACACTTTTCAATCTATGCTGTCCGTAAACAATCAGCAGACAATCAACCAGCCGTGGATCAATCAACTCCATCAGCGAATGCTTCGCTGTCTCAGGATGCAGCAACACCTTCGAAGAAATCCAACTTACAACTTATTGTTGCCATCGCTGTCGCCTGCGGTGCGGGAGTACTGGGATTTTCCCTCGTCACATATTACAGGCGAACGATCCTCAAGAAATTGAAATATACCAGTTCCCCGTCCATGACCCAACAGTCAACTTCTATATCTGTCGACATCCCGTCCACTGGAGAAAGTCACACTCTTCACTCTGAGCTGTTAGAACCATCACTGCCGCAAGGCTTGAGTTCCCAGCAATCACAGCAAACGATCAGCATCGATGTATCTCCAAACAAAGGCAAAACGAATGAGCAAGCGGTCGCCAGCATCGCTCCCACACTGCAGGGCCAGGAGGTCGCCAGCATCGCTCCCACGCCTCTGGGCCAGGAGGTCGCCAGCATCGCTCCCAAGCCTCTGGGCCAGGAGGTCGCCAGCATCGCTCCCAAGCCTCAGGACCAGGAGGTCGCCAGCATCGCTCCCACACTGCAGGGCCAGGAGGTCGCCAGCATCGCTCCCACACTGCAGGGCCAGGAGGTCGCCAGCATCGCTCCCACGCCTCTGGGCCAGGAGGTCGCCAGCATCGCTCCCAAGCCTCAGGACCAGGAGGTCGCCAGCATCGCTCCCACGCCTCTGGGCCAGGAGGTCGCCAGCATCGCTCCCACACTGCAGGGCCAGGAGGTCGCCAGCATCGCTCCCACACTGCAGGGCCAGGAGGTCGCCAGCATCGCTCCCACGCCTCAGGACCAGGAGGTCGCCAGCATCGCTCCCACACTGCAGGGCCAGGAGGTCGCCAGCATCGCTCCCAAGCCTCAGGGCCAGGAGGTCGCCAGCATCGCTCCCAAGCCTCAGGACCAGGAGGTCGCCAGCATCGCTCCCACACTGCAGGGCCAGGAGGTCGCCAGCATCGCTCCCAAGCCTCAGCAGCAATCGGAAATTTCAATGGATGCTGAGGCGCAACCAGAGGTGGCAGTTGCTGAGAAGCCGAAAAGGCTTGAGGGAATTCGACCGGGTCTTGTAGCGCGGATGATCGAGAAGCAGAAGCAGCTAGCGGTTGAAAGCTCTAAACCGGTCAGCAAGAAGGAAGTCTATCCGTCGTTCATGATCGATGACGATGAAAACTCTAACGATGCCTCTGAGGAGGATGAAGTGTCGGACAAGGAACCAGAAAATGAATTGAAGCCCAGCGAGGTGGTACAAGAGGAGCGAGAGATGGAGGAGGAAGAAACTTCAAAGCTGGTAAGTGATGTGATGTACAACTCTGAAGTTGACTCTTTGTTGGAGGATGAGGACCATCTGAATGTCCGACCCGAGGAGAGCTCTGCTGCCCTCAAATCAAGCAAGGAGACAGGGAAGGAAAATCGTGCAGCCAAGAAGGTTCAGGTGCAGGCTTCGTTTGAGAGCTCCCTGAACAAGGAGGTAGCCGGGTCATGTTCTCTCACTTCCTCGATTGACACTCGGCAGCAGGATCCCGACGCAGTACAAGTTATTGGCCCATCGTATGTCGATCCGGTCGTCCTGGAGCACAGGTGGGCCCAGCATACTCGTCTTCGCGCCTTCGCCTTACATATTTCTGCTGCTCCTCCTCTTGCCTCCGTCGGCCTGCTTTTTCCTTTCCACCGTTTCAATTTCTTACCTTGTTGTGCAGATTCTTTGACCAGGAAGTGGAGTACAAGAAGATGGCAGCTGAGGCACTGAAAAAGCTCCGAGCCGAAGGTGTGCTCGGTGCTGCAACTGCCGAGCTGGGACTCTACACTGGGCCGAAGACTCTGGAAGCCAGCGATGCAGCGCAGAAAGTCAACGAGCACAAGAAACGGCAGGTCAAGTTCCAGACGATTAAGAAGAAGTTTCAGACGCACGATCAATCATGATATCAAGTTCATCAACCGGGACGCTGTATCCTGTGCTTTCAAGCACGCGCCTGCCACAATTTTGCCTTATACTCAATAAATTCATCCTGGCGATGTCCGATCCGACTGATGTGCTACAACGGGCGCTCAGTGGGCCCGGCTTACTGACTCGAGCAAGGGCCCGGCCAACTTGATCACTGCCAGCAGGCAGTAGCAGCCGCCGGAAGGCTGAGCCTCGGACTCAGCGCTGGCCGGGCCTAGGCGACTCGGCCCGGTCGGATCTGCACTACAGCAAACCAGGCGTTACGGAGTATAACCGCTCCTAAAGCAGATTGAAATTCAACATGGCGGGGACAGCTGGGAAGGGGAGGGATGCAAGTGGAAGCAGGAGGAGAGGAGGAGGAGAAAGTTTTACATGAAGAGCTCGAGCAGATCTCAATCATGAGGAGGAGGCGGAGAAAATAGAACAGAAGAGCATGGCTTCAAGGAAAGAAGCAGTCCGAGGAAGTAGCATAAAAATGCAGTCAGCCAAGCAGGAAAATTTCCAAAGCATTCGAAGAGACACAAGACAAAACATCACTTGCAAGTAGGGACAAGATATGCAGATAACACATGACAGAGTTTCGTTCCGATCACATGAATCAATGACGGGATAAAGGGATGTGCTGTTTCTAACAAGATGGCCACGAGTTCACACGGATTTCAATTTGATGGTTTTCATTGCAGGTGGAATACTGGTTTCATGTTGAAGACGTACGCTGAGACTTAAAGCACCTCCTACATCGTAGGAAATTCATCATATACAATGAGCAACGTCAAGGCACTGTGGGGCTCGTTGTTATCGGGAATCGTATTCGGGATTGTGAGTGAATCGAACTTGAGTGAAAGAGACCAATCCAACTGATGTCTTACAGGCCTGGGTCATTTTTACTGATCAGATCGCATATTACACCAAATGCAGAGAGAGTGTTCTGTCGGGCAATCTCTGTGGTTGGAAGAATACATCGGATTTTCAGATAGCCTACAGCCAGTCGTGCTGTAACCTCGATTGTCAACAGCGGCCGAACTCGACTTGCGGATCAACAGTGAACGGAATCTGCCCAGGTCCGAATGGCGAGGTGAACTTTGCTTGCAGTTGCACCTTTCACAGCAACTGCACCACGTCTACCCCCGTGTCACAGAGCACGCTCGATCTTGCGAAAGACAAGTATGGCGGTTGGAAATCTTTAGCAGGGCAAGCTCAGCTGATCTACCTTCCTGCGGTTTTGATACTTCTTGGGTTCTTCATGATCAACACTGTTGAGTCATCGGACCTGACAGGAGAACTCGAGTATCCGAACAACGTGTTCATCAAGGTAATCACCACTGAGTCCTCCGATGCAGGAAATGGATCGTGATTTTATTTTTTCTACTTTCTGTTCTAGGTATGGTTCTTCATCGGCAGTCTGATCACTTTTACATCTCTGGCGATTTCTCTCTGGCTGCTCGTCGATGTGTTTGCGAAGGACAAAGCTCTGCAAGTGGGTCCAGGTGTGGGAACCGTCGTTCAGGTGACCTAGCCAGCGCTTGTCTGACACGGCTTTGGTAACCCGAGACACTGGCAGGTGTGCCTCGTTTCTCTCAGTTGTGCCTTGTTTTGGATAGCTCGACGATTTGGCGAAGATTCGGTCAATATCGGCTTGTGATAGTCACTGAAGTTAACTAGTAAAGGTGTCAACTCAAAGTTACTAAGTTAACCGGTCTTTGGCAGAGCCGCTGAGCCTCCTATGCTGAGTCACTGTCACGACTCATAAGTACGGTCGCTTAGTGACGCCGGCGGCCCGGCCCGGGCCGGGCCGGGCCGCCGGCGGACTCCGACGACTGTCCGGCGACTAACTTGACCCGCAGGTCCGAAGTTTTACTCAAAGTTTTAAGTTAAAACCGAAGTAGTACTAAACTCCAATTTGGGTCTAGATCTGAAGCTATCGGGACTACGTGGAGGGTCTTATCTTTTTACTCAGGGTGGGGTGGTCTACCCCACCCTGAGTAATACCGATAATACGACCCTACCATCTACGTAAACGATTCAAACTCAGTACCCTACGGTTCATCATAAAATGCAGTCTGAGTACCCTCAACTTTGTCCCCATTGAAGTACCCTACCCCCGATAAAACTTGTCATCGATTGAGGGGGTAGTAGCAGAGGGTCATAGTCTCTGCTGTAGAAGGTTTGAGAGTTTAGGGGTGGGGGTAGAAGGTGTGGCGTTCAAAGTGGGGTGGTACGAAAGCCGGGGTCTATGTGATGGGGTATTTCCACATAGGGGACCAGTCCATGGGGTACAGTGACATGTGGGGTGATATATTTTCTGACTTGGTAGGGTAGTTCTATGGTAAATCGACGGTGTGAAATGTATTGGGTGGGTACAATCATGTTCAATGAGCCTCCGTGGGGGTAGGTAGACCAGGATGAATATTTTGAAGGGTAGGTTGAAGATGGGTGGGTACTTGTTGGAGGGGTTTGGACTGGAAATGGTGAAGTGAGGGGCGCGCATGGTGAGGGCGGAAGCGATCGGAAGGAGTACTGGTGGCCCTTCAATGGCCTTCCTCCCTCCTGTTCTGTCCATGCATTCTCAATCGCGATGCTTCTTGCCCAGGGTACATAGAGCAACACCGTCAACCTCCATGCTGCTAGGCGAAGTTCCTCGGTTGCGTTCCGGAAAAGCAGAGAAACTGCGATGTGAACAACCTGTGCTTCCTGTGCTGATTAGCTTCCCTGCCCATGACTCGAAGTCTTCTCTCCCGGATTGCTCCCTGCGAATGAGCTCCATCCTGTCCAGAGCAATCGAAGCTGTTCAAAAAAGGGACGACAGGATTTCGGAAACTTTCCGGGTAAGCACTATTGGAATGCTTGTTCTCCGCTCCTTGTATTTGAATATTTGACATCTTGAAACAGGAAAGTAGGACTTCTTCCATATCCGTGAAACTGATACTCATATCAATCATTGCAATCATCTCGCGAATATTCGTACTCAGTGCTTTAACATTGTTGACTTTGATGCAACGAACCCTGAACTTCTTTGACGAGAGGGTCTTCAAAACTAAGGGCAAGGATGATGAAGACAGCAGTACAGAAAGCACTGAAAATTCTTCCTCACCATATGAACCCCAAGCTCTGGACAGCCACGCCAAGGCTAAACAGCACCGGGACACATCAAGCACCAAATCAGCTTCGAGCTTCAAGATATCTCCCGGACTCAAGTTGGGCTCTAAGATATTCACGGAGGCTGGTTTGGCTTGTCTTGTCACCATGTCTGAAACTGAATTCTCTTCAGAGATAGACGCGATCAAACAGATCAAGGAAAAGATCGACAACCTGCCTTCCAGCGAGAAGGAAGGGCTGTGCATCGACTGGCTATCGAGGATGCATCCTTGTGAGGTTGGCGCGTACTTGAGGGCATGCAAGCATGGCTCTGTAGAGGAAGCTTGGAAGAACATCCTGCACAGGTGAGCTAGGGGTCGCTGCGTGAGTGTGAAGAAAACTTACCCGAAATTCCAGCGCGGAATGGAGAAAATCGTATGGGGTTGCGAATATTCTGCAAGAGAAATCGACAACTCTTGACGGATTCTTCGATGGCGGGGTAACACTATCGCTCTGCCTCTGCTGTTAGGCTGATCTTGTTGCTTCAGACGCGAGAGGTCGACTGGTTGCCTCAAGGCAGCTTCTGCCTTCTTTCCCGCTAGGATGGTTGACTGAACTTGCAGGTTCGCTTCTTGACGGGAGCGGAAACCCCTGCCTGCTGTATCGCTCTGCTGCCCACGTCCCTCTCGGTCGGCCAACAGGTTTGTCCAGCGCTGGCGGGGCATGGGAGGGGAGGAAGTGACAGGGGAGGACAGAGGAATGGCTCAGGTTTTTCGTCCATCAATGTGAGTGGGCCAGGAGAAAGCACCCGTCGAAGCAGGTCATGCTCATGAACTGTTTCTCGTGAGAGTCATTCGCTCCTTTAGGTCGTCATCCTCGTCGACCGCGTCGGGAGCGGGCTGAGCAACCAGGACCCAACCGTCCTGCGCGAGCTCGTGCCGGTGATACAGAACCACTACCCCCAGCTGATCGGGCGAGTCTTCATCGCCCCTGTCAACAAAGTTCTGTGGATCATCTGGCGTATCGTCTCGCTGATCCTCGATGAAGAGATCCAGCAGGTCATCGAGCTCGTTGAGGTAGCTGACCCTTGCCCCCCTTCCCACCCCCCCCCCCCCTCCTTCACCCCTACCTGCCTCCACTCCCTTCTTCCTCCTCCTACTCGGCCATAGAGGGACCCGCCGGCACTACTACCACCACTCTCATCTCCTCCTCCTCCTCCTCCTCCTCCTCCTCCATTCACTGTGATTGTCGCCAGGGCGACGATTGGCAGGAGCGACTGTGCATGTACATCGAGCCAGCAGCCCTTCCTTTGCGGCTGGGAGGACAGAACACCCTCTTGTAAATTCTCAATCAATAAAAGTTTTCAAGCACCCAGCTTTCTTCATCCTCTCCTCGCGTCGACGGCGAGGAGCCGCAACACGCGCTCCCTCCTCTCCTTCCACACCCTCCTGACGTTGTCTGGACGTCGAGTGTCAGCGAGCACAGCGAGACCAGGAGGACCCACCGTTGATGTATGACGCGCAGTCCACGCACAGGGAGGGCTCGTCGAACTGGAGGCGGAAGTACCGGGTCACGCGTCCCGACGGACTCCCGTTGGCTATGGAGGTGGCGGCAGCAATGGGATCTTTCAGCTAGGAGGGGACGAGGTGAGAATGATGACACGAAGAAGTTGCAGGGTCTCACCTGGATCTCGAGAAGGTGGGCGTTGCTGGTGGACACGGTAGAGGAGGAGATGTCGCGAAGAGGTATCACCTACGAGGGATGAGGAAAAGAAGAAGGGAGAGAAAGGGAGTAGGGAGGAGGGAGGAGGGAGGAGGGAGGAGGGAGGAGGGAGGAGGGAGGAGGGAGGAGGGAGGAGGGAGGAGGGAAAGGTGAGTGACCTGAGTAACGACACCCTTGGCAATGTCTCCTCGAGCATCCGGGGCCACCAGGAGCATCGAGGCTTGATCCACCAGCAGGTAGCGGAAGACCCAGGTCCCCTGCTCATACGCCAGGCAGATCCTGTGAACTCCGAGAGCCTGGATGTCTTCCTCCAGGTTGTTTATGCAAGCCCCGACCTTCATGGTAGTCGACGCCTGTACAGTGGAAGAGGGCCTCCCCGTCCCTCGGGTATTGCGTTCCTCCTCCTCCTCCTCTTGCTCCTCCTCCTCGACTCCCCCGCACAGCCAGTCGTGGAGGAAGCGCAGGAGGATCCACATCTGCGCCTTGTGGCGGAGGAAGTCAATCTCGGCCTTGGGGAGGGTTTTAGCTGGGGGAACTGCTGGGATGTTGCCGACGAAGGGGGGGAGGATCAGGATCGCGTCCGTTAAAATCGCCTCCACGTCAACTTCCTTCACGACGCTGAGCCCGTTGTCCTTCCCCAGCTGCTCCTCGGCGATGCAGATGAAGAGGTGGCTCCGATCGCCGTCTTCGAACTTGAGCATGTCGCTGATGAGGTGGACGGCGCTCTGCAGGGCGTCCAGCAGGATGCAGGCATGCTGGGGCAGGAGGAAGAGGCCCCTGGGGACCCGCCGCCCTGCTCGGAGCAGCGAAGGGATGGCAGAGCCGCAGGGGTGCGTGAGCTCAAGGAGGATGTTGGCGGCCAGAGTCGCAGTGAAGAACCTCCTTTCAGCCTGTCGGGCCAGCAGCCCGAGGAGGAGGACGACCAGCTCGCTGTTGTAGCCTATCTGATGCTCGTCCAACGCCGTCAAGTCGCCTTCTGCTGCAGCAGGTGAGCCCTCAGACAGCAGAAGTCTCCTCCTCCTCCTGCTCCTCCTCCTCCTCCTCCTCCTCTCACCCGGAGATTCGAGGACGCTGTCCTCCAACCCCGGCGTCTCGACGTTGACATGCTTCACGTGGTTCGTCTCGTAGCTCCAGGTCGCCACCCCACGCACGGCAGACTCTCCTCCCCCCTCGACCAAGCGCTTCCCCTCATCCCCTCTACTTATCTCACCCTCCTCCTGCAAGTTCTCCTCCTTGCTCCTCTTCTTCACCTCGAGCATGTCAGCGCGCTGCTGGCACACGATCGCGCTCCTCAGCTCCTCACCTTGCGGCACCTCGTAGGAAGCAGCCCGCACTCCTCGAGCACGGCAGGAGAGGCAGAGCCCTTCTGGATGGCTGCGAGGACGCAAGTGAGAATCATCAGCACCGCGTGGTCCTCGTCCGCTGAGAGGTTGGTGAGGATAACGGGCCGGCACGTGTTTGGAGGGCCTCGCTCTGCTCACCCTTCAGACGCGCAGCGAAATCGACAGGAAGAAGCAAGAGGACAACCTGCCGCATCCTCGTCCATAGAGGAGTGAGGAGGCTTGCCGCGTGTGGACTTCTCCTCCATCTCGATGCTTTCCTGCATGACTTCCTGGCGGACAGCAACCAAGATGCCAGGACGAGCGCCCTCTGTTGCGTTGCCCTCTGTTGCGTTGACAGCGTGCGATCTGCGAGCCGTAGGTGTGCTTTGGAAGCAGGACAACCATCAGAACGTCATGATCACCACCACGACCAACTCCTCCTCCTCCTCCTCCTCCTCCTCCTCCTCCTCCTCCTCCTCCTCCTCCTCCTCCTCCTCCGCCCCCTTTCCCCCTCCCCCTCCTCCTCTCCCCTTTGTTCTTCCTCCTCCCTCCTCTCCCAACCTCTCCCTCTCCTTCGTCCTCCTCCTCCTCCTTACCGAATCTGCGGGAAGTAAACCTCAGGGTCGTCATCGCGGTTGGCGAACAGCGATCTGATGAGGAACTCGCTGAGGTCCTTGTCCTGCGACGCAGCTCATGAGCTCTCCGACCGCCGCCGCCTCCTCTCTTTCACCTGGACGCTCCCCAGAGTCTGTGCTGCGATCAGAAGAGCCGCCTGCCGGTCGCATGGTCAGTGGAAAGTCAGTCAGCTAACAATGGACGAACAGGGAGCTGGAGGGGTTCAGTTGACAGGGCGTTTTCATGTGCTTTCTCGTCATAGTCCTCAGGTTTCTTCGATCCTCTTCTGTTCGCTCGGATGCTCTCGAAGCTCATCTGCATCAAGAGCAGCTCAGTCCCTCGCGGATGCTCGCCCGCCCGACTTGCTCACCGGGACGACGAGTTTGTGCAGGAGCCGCGAGCCAAGAATCTTTCTCAGCGCAGGGAATCCGCAGCACATGATGTCATTGATGTAGTAGAAGTTGTCGATCTGTGCTCAAAAAGTGAGCTTGTGCTGGAAGAGTCCTACCCTCTCCACTCTCCACCTGTTCCTGGATGATCTTCTCAACTGAATACTTGATCGGCTGCAGGGCGTCAGTGTTGCTCCTGGAACAACCCCTCCTTTCACATTCACCTTGGTCTCTCTGGGTGAAGTAGCAAACATGGCGTCGGTCAGAAGAGAATCCAACTCCCTGTACCGCCTTATCATCTCCCAGACGATGTTGGAGAAGAACGGGACTGTGGTGGGAGGTCAGCCGCGCAAGCAGGCCGCAGGGTTGCCAGGCTCTCGACCACTCCTCACCTGCAGTCCTGTTGGCGATATACTCCCTCATCCCCACATCCTCGATCCCGTAGATGTTCAACGTCAAGGTGCGGACTGCAACTCGCACCATGTGGTCGTCATGGTTGTAGAACTTCAGCGCCTCGGTCAGGAGGGGGAACTCTTCCACAGAACGTCACGGGCAGGAGGGAGGTGGACGCGGCGTCACCTGGAGTCTTCCGCGCGTTGAAGAAGAAGTGGACGGTGTCCGCGTTGACGCGGAGGGAAAGCGCCTTCAGGAACGAGATATAGTACGCCATCAGCTCCTGCGGCTCTCGGCGTCATCACATGGCGGAGGAGCCGCACATGTCACCTCATCTTGGAAGTCGAACCTGTGGGTGATGAGCTCGTTCACGTGGTCGTTCGATAGGAGGTAGAAGATCAGCGACGAGTTGTTGAGGTTCTGCCAAGCACTCCCATCAACCCGCACCCCCATCTCCTTGCACCATTGCGAACCTGGAAGAAGATGCTCAGGGATTGCAGAATCTGCACTTTCATCGGCTTTGCTGTTCTGCGCGATGGTTCAAGAAACCCCAGCAACTTCTCAAGCATGCGCTTCTGTACCACACCGGGTGCGGTCAGCGCCAACCATGCACAAGTCACTTGCCCGCACCTCCATGAAGAACTCTGTAATCAGCGCGTCGTGCTTGTCGCCCCACGTCACTAGCTCAGCGATCTCACGGACGGTCTCCACCATCATGTCCACATTGCTCAGGGTAACTAGAGGATTCCGCTCGATGATGTTCAGGAGGTGGGCTAGGTACGCTGTAGAGAATCGTTCCACCGGCGCCAACCCCAGCGCCTCCCCCAGCTTCTTCAGGATGGACATCCTGTTGCTCCGCAACCTTCCCCCCCCCGCCACCTTCACCCTCGAAGTCGATCGATCAGCGGCTACCTGACTCGCCCGCTCCTCCTACTCTCCCCCTCCTCGCTTCTCCTTCCATCCCTCACAGCGCTATCGATTGCTGCATCGATTGCCTTCTCAATCCTTAGCCTCGTCCCCGCGCAAACCAAAGTCACCACCCTGGCGTGGATACCCCTTCTTTGGAATACCCCACCCTGATAAAATGCTGTTGAGAATTGAAAAAATTACCCCTCTTTTGAAGACGAGAAGACTACCCTCACCCCTTAGATCCTGAGCCCGAGGCCGGACATGGGGGAGGGAGCGACGGCAAACGAAGTTTGTGAGACGTTGCGAGGAGGGAAGAGGAGGAGGAGGAAGGGAGAGATTGCGTTGGCACCCAATGAATGCAGGTAGGCGTCATAGAGATGTGCTCCGACGTTGTGGGGCACGACTGAGTTGCGAGAGGAAAGGGAGATCATGGATAGGGTCTGTAGTTTGTGCTGTCTTTAGAGTGCAGATACATGTTTTTGCAGAAGATTCCATACGATTCAACATAAACTTGACGAATTCCTGATAGTTAGAGCGAATCGCAAGCTTCCATGTTGAACGAGAATGCGTTGGACGACGAAATTGTTATCGTTTTCATGTGTAAATCGAACAGTGCCCGGTATACTGTTCATATCGCCTTGTAACCGCAAGATTCCAATTGCTCACTCTGATCCTACAGTTCCGTTGTAGCTGAATGTATCGCAAGGAAGAAGTGGCAAGGTCAGGGCTGCCAAGAGCCAGCTCTTGACGGCTGTCCGTTCCCAGGGTGGGAGGGTACAAAGAAAAGTTTCTACTCAGCAGGAACTCAAATCAAGAAGGATTCTTCATCAAGTACAGGCATCAAAATCGGCGTCACAAAGGCACTGGAGCGAGCAGGATATGACATACTGGGGCTCCGCTCTAAGGGGATAACGTCTTTGACCGAAGAGCTAGGGGATCGGAGGATCCACTATGGTATGCCCTGGGTTTCAGCCTCCCTTGGCCTGACAGGTTTGCAGTTGTGACGATGTGCTGCGAGGCCGAGGGAGATCTCAAGTGCAACGTCACTGTACGAAGAGCGTTGGGGCTGGAGAGCGCCAACCCGTTGGTGCCCAAGCATCTTAGCTTCCCGGTCTGCGCTCCTACCGACGCTTGTCGGCGAGAAGGACTGACAGGTTTGCCGCAAGTCGAGCATGCTCGAGTGCCGATCAGTGATTGATTTCATGGCAGGAGAAGAAGAAGCTGCAAATCCTTTCTACGACAGACTGATCCATGACGTCGAGTGTTTCGTCGAACAGCTTCCAACTTTCCTTAACTCTGCAGAGCCAATGAAATAGATCCAACGGTTGTAAATAACTCGGAGTGTCGTGACCTCATGCGGCTTGATGTTGATGCGCCTGCCCATACGCATTGCAGTCATGTGGCCGCCTATTCCTAACGGTGTTCTTTTGGACTCGCCGCGCGCGGCCCCGGCCGCCCGGGCCGGGAGCCTGCGCCGCGGCCCGCCGGGCCCGCCGCCCGCCGCCCGGGCCAGCCCCGGGCAGTCCGTCCGGGCGGCCCGGCTGCAGCGAGCCCAGGCTGACTCAAGTCACTGAGTCGGAGTGGCCCGCGGCCCTTCAAGTTTCAAATTTGGCCGCAAGTGACTACCGTACAGTGGGCCGGGCCCGGACCCGGCGGGCCGCCCGAGTCGCTGCCGGCCCAGGCCGGGCTGTGCATGGCCGGGCCGGGCGCGGCGGCGGCAGCCTCGGCTGGGCAGTGGCGCCTCAGTGCCAGCCTTGAAGCCCGGGTCCGCCGGGACTCCGGGACGGTCACCGGGTACGGCACGGTCGCCGGGCGGCCGCCGGCCGGGCCCCCGGGCCCCGCGGCGGGCCCCGCAGGAGCCAGCACCCGACTCGGGTCGGAGCCTGCGAGTGTGCACCAACTGTACCATACAAAACTTTTGTTACTATACTTCTTTCCGTATTCCAGAATTAAGTATACAGATACAAATATATAAGTAAATATAAATTGTACTATGAAACCAAACAGTATAATACAACTAGTTTCAATATGGTACTATACAGAACTGCCTCCGGTACTGACCGAATTCCTCCTACGGTCCACCAACAATTGGACCACCGGTACTTTCTACAGGATATCGACTGAGCGATTCGGGGGTGAGGTGGGGGCATCAAGGTGGGGCGGGCCTGGGGGCGAAGAGACGCGTAGACGCGGAGAGCCGCGCGGGCAGGATGGCGCGATGGCGACTGATGGCGGGCGTTGGAGGGGCGATGGCGCTCCTCCTCGTGGCCGTTGTGACCCTCCAAGTAAGAGAAGATGAGCATGCAGCACTCCTTCAAGAGTACGTGCAGCCTGCACGCATGCAGCAGCTCCCAGAGTTCTCGGTAGCAGGGACCATGCAAACCGGTGCCCCAGCACCCCAAGGCATTCCCCTGTCTTTCCAGCTTCCCGTGCCTCTTCCAGCCCCATCCCCTCCTGCACCAACTGTGATCACTGTGGGACCAAGGCCAAAGAAGGCTCCAGTCTGCAAGCGCTGTGAGAGGCAGATGCGCGAGATCAAGGTGAGAGGGCACTTCTCGGGAACCCAGCTACAAGTGATGTGATTGTTTTTGTGTTTTGCAGCGCATGATCAAGCGCATTAAGAGACAGAATGAGAAGGCTGACGACCTCATGGAGAAGCAAGATGACATGATTGCCAGCTACAAGGAACGCATGGAAGAGGCTGTTGAGAAGGTCAAGGACAAGCTCTACGAGAAGGCCAAGCAGTACAAGAGAGTTATCTCTGATCTCAAGACCCAGCCTGGCCCCCCCGGTCCTCCGGGTGTTCCAGGAAAGCCAGGAAGCAATGGTCTCCCAGGCAAGCCTGGAGCTCCAGGAGACACTGGACCTCCTGGACCTCAAGGAGCCACGGTAAGCTCGGATTTTAGATCTCGCACTCTCATTAGCTCTGGGGGTTGTGGGCGTGCTCTGATGTTCATTCGTATTTCAGGGACCTCCTGGAGAGCAGGGACCTCAGGGAATCACTGGTGCTATTGGACCTCCGGGCCCTCGTGGTCCCGTAGGACCTGAAGGTACAGAAGACCTTTCCATGCCTGGACCTTTGTGTTGACTTCGGCCTGTAGGACGTGTTGGACCTCGTGGTCCTCAGGGACCTAACGGACCTCTCGGACCTTCTCTCAACCAGCTCTGTGAAAAGATTGGCGGAATGACTTACAAGGGTGTTTGCTTCAAACGTAAATCCAGCAAACATGTACATGAATCACGACTTACTTGTGATTCAGGTTCCAAGCTTATTGGGAACTCCGACAACTTCCCCCCAGATTGCAACGTGTACAATCCTCGTGCAAGCTGGCAGGAGAGCGACTACGTTGCCCTTCAGAGAATGTTCAAGGATAGACCTACTTGGGAGGAGATCAACCGCAATGCCAAGGGAGGTCTTTGCACTAACTTCAGGGCCACTCTTGCCTTCGAGCAGCACGAGGTGAGAATGTTCTTACGTGCATATTCCTCCTTCCTTACCTTTGATCTTCAGAGCCCTGTCGGAGTTTGGGCCAACCAGAACAGTTTTGTCTTCTCACCTGTGAACGGGCGACCCCAGTGCCAGGTAAAGACTCTGTCATGAATAACGGGAGTAGTTTGACATGTTGCCAGATGTACGGAGATAACACGGTCATGGCCGTTTATGCTTGCCAAGTTTAAGGATAGGATCTCTCTGAAATTTTTATTGAACGCACCAGTACATTCCAACTTTTGGAATTTTGCATTTCTTTGTGCGATGTAGTTCATATGTCATCAAATGACCCAGTACAATGACGCAACCAATGAGTGGTCAAACGACACAGTTGCTGACTACTCACGACGAAACCAGTCGATGGCACCGCCTACCGCGATAGTCTGGAAGGAAATCAAGGAGAAGAAAAACCAATCAAACACATACCACCAGACACACTAAGATGAGAATAATCAACGTGAAAGTCGAAAGTGGGGTGATTTCCCGCAGCTGCTCACAGTTACCATCGACCAGTCAATCTAACAACCTTCACCGGATTCTTGCAGATGTACACGTCTTTGACGCTTGTAGTTGAGGATGCAGACGTGTTTGTGCTCTGAGAGGGTTCAGACAAGATCGACAAGTCCAAGGGAATACCGATGTAGAAGAAGAGCTCGTGCCAGTCCCGGTACACAGAGAGGTATTGCAGCATGAGACTGTCATGCCGCTGTAATTACCTGCCATAGACGGTGACCAAAAATACGTTTAGACCAAGAAGTCAAACTTCACCTGAGGTCACTTGGGTCTTTAGTCCGTTGCATGTCAGGTTCAAAGTTCCGTCGTAGCAACCCGCTGGAGTCTGATAAACGATTCAAACTCATTGAAAGAATATGGATGAATTAATGAATGACCGCTGTTGATCCGTTGAAGACCTGCAGGCATGCTAGAGGTGTGACTGTACAATCCTGCAATGTGGTACCCTACACCAAAATCTCAGGACCTTCGCAAATCTTTCTCTTTGTGTTCAATCGATGATCACCTTCGCACACTGAAAGGTAGTGCCTGCTCTGCGGTCCTCAAAGGGAACCTCAACATCCAACTGTCTCCGTGCTGAAGTCATGGTGAGCGAAGGATCTACGGTCGGAGCTTGAGCAAGCTTCTTGAAACCGACGCATTGGTTGCAGCTGTTTCACAACAGGTCAGAACACTCGTGGCTCGCATGCCAACGATTGTGCCTGGTTGTGTTGCAGCAGAAAACTTCGGAATCAACACCTGCTCCTTGACCCATGAAGGGGATCTTCTTCCTGAAAAGCGCACCCACGTACGGACATGTAACGGAGATGTTGACCGCGCCGATGAGCTCCAGGAGACACCCCCCGGTGGTGTACGATTTCCCTCCGATCGTTGCTGTATACTGCACACAGAAGTCTGTAGGTGAAGCACAGGCGAGCTCAGTCGACTTGTCCTTCCATGAGCCCTTCTGGATCATGGCAGGAAGTTTCCCATTGTCTAGAGCTTGTCCTCGACACTTCAGTCCAGCAGATGCGTTCTGAGCGCTGCCTTGAGGAAAGAATGCAGCTGTTCAGCAAGACGTATCAGAGATGCATTCATCACATTCATCGCAACAGTGTCTCCGATCAAATCTCACCGCAAAGGACGACGAGGTAGAGTTTTAGATTGAGCGCCATTCCTTGAGATATCATGATGAATCAGCTGGTTGGTAGGAATACATTTCTGCACCACGTTACGAATGTCAGTGCCGTACAAAACGAGTCGACATGGCTGTCGAACGGGTTCAATTCGAAGCTAAAGACTCAAATAAAATGACAGTGAGTTACGATCGTGCAGACTGCGGAGTTAATCGAGTTGAAATCCCTTGGTACATCTAGACTTTGCGAGCAATATGATGCAACAGGAGGTGAGGGGTATTGAGAGTCAGAGCAAGCCACTGATAACGACAGCTGCAATTGCGAGAACTCATGACACGGAAAGGTGATGTAGGAAGAGGGAATCTGCGCTGGCCATTAAACATATTGCTACGGGAAGCGGGAAAGTGGAGGGTTAACAAAGACCGCAGGAGATGGATTGGCTGTTGTGGTAGATTCAAGCTGAGCATGACATGTCGATCGTGGTGACGGTGATATCTACGCCCTGATCTCATGCGACTATCACACCATACAATGTACTACCGTAGAACCGCATTTGACCCAATCAACGCCATGGACGAACAGCCATGATGTCCTAGCATAGGGTGGGTGGGGTCCGAAGCTTTCATCTCAGGCAGGGGTGTAGAATCAATTGTCGGAATGCCTCATTGACCGGGGGGTAGGGTACTGCATGAGTCACCCAGTGAAAGGGAGGGCCATCAGGGGGTGGTCTCCACTCTGCCGGCACTGTCGTGACTGCAGTGGCCCGGAGTCTGGCGGCCTCGAGTGCGCGGGCGGCCGGGATCGGACCGTCTCGGGGCCCCACTCCGGGTCACTGAGAAGAGTCACTGGCACTCAACAGTCCCACGGTCGGACGGTCAAGATCTGTCTACCGTGCCGTACAGGCTGTGTGCAGTGCCTGACCGGGCCGGACCATTCATCGTCGCGGGGCCCACTGCCAGGGCCAGCACTGCCAGATTGCGGAGTTCCGGGCCGAGTTTGAAGTTAAAAAGGCTTCGGAAGTTCCGTCTGGCGGCCCGGGGGGCCTTGCCAGGCCCGGGAGGCTCGCTACCCGGTCCGCGCGCCCGGGTCCGGCGCGGCGCGCGCCGGGGGCCCCCGCGAGGCCCCGCTTCAGTTGCCGCACCCGGCTTCAAGCCGCTGACTCGCTGACCGGTACTACGGTATTAATGAGCGGCCCATGGTGCAGTCCCGCAGTGCCGTGCGGCATGGCGGCGCCCCGGGTCAGTCACTGGCCCGGCCATAATGACTACTGGTAGGCCCGGCATCCGATCATGGCAGTTCATGATTATCAACACTGGCACTGAACCGTTCCGAACAGTCGGACGGTCCTGGATCGGACAGCCCGCCGCGGGGTCACAGGCTCGGACCCCGGTCCGGTGATCCGGCGGGGGGGCGCCGGCCGGGCCTGGCCCAGCGGCCCGGGCCCCTTGCCTGACTCTCTGTTCAAGGCTGCCACAGCCCGGCGCCGGGGCCGCCGGGCGGGGGGGGGCCCGGCCGCCGGGCGGCCGCCGTGCCACTGGCGGGCAGCGGCCAGCCTGATGCTGACAGGCTGTCGGACCGTCTGAGTCTCGGAAACGTACGACCGGGAATGCAGCAGGCCGGGATGTGTGCCGGAAGCGGCTCCCCCGGTAAAGTTCCGCATGACACCTGACCGCCCCCCCCCGCCGCCGGCACGCCGGGCTAGCCTAGTAGTACGGTACTCACGGTGACGAAACTTGAAAGTTGACAGAGACAAATCTCGAGATTGAATCTTGGACTGGAAGTCACTGTACCGGCAATTGCCAGTTCAGTGAGTGGCTTGTACCATCGTGATTCACTTAGTATGTGAGTTCCGGAATTTGTACCATGAATACCAACCGAGGTTCGAAGAATGAGTACAAAATACAGTACCGCAAAAATATCTTTTAGTACCGCATGGTACTATGCTACTATGACGATCAGGCTGGTCAATTTTAGACGCCCTCAGAGGTTTTGCCTTTTCACGAAAGGTTGCCGATTCGAAGCCGCCGCTGCGAAATGCTGTTGCTTCAGCTCATTCCCATGACTCCCATGCTCTCCTCAGGCTACACCCGCGCCGATGGCATTACCTTCGATGGCATTCCCAGTAAGAAGACGATCTTATCTCTTGCTGACGCTTGTCTGACTTGCTTGCTTTAGGCCAGGAGGGCTTCTGGATTGTGGACAGCTACAATGCCCCGTGAGTCAACCATGCCCCTCTCCTCCCTCGTTTGTTGGCTTGCGGTGATGTGTGAAATTTTCGCAGTGCCAGCGACCCATACAGAACGACTGAGGTCAACATCGACACTCGTTATGGGGGAGGGATCGGTACCTCCGGCTTCAACGGGGGCGAGACCCCGATCTCAGATGGGTACTCGGCTGCGAGCATCGGAGTGCCACTCTTCTCATACGGTGCCTCCTAAGACTCAAGAAAAGAGACACTAGTGTGAAGATGTAGCTGTTTGCGTCTGAACAGGTTCTATATATCTATATGCCTCAAACGCTCTCGTGGTGTATGCTCTTTCACGTGACCTCACTCCCTTCTCTAACTGAAGAAATTCACTCAACGAAGAAGATGTTTGGCATCATGCCACTGAATGCCGAAGATAGCGGAGAGCTGAAGATAGCATTCAAGTTCAATCCGCACCGCCTTTGACGTGACGGGCGTTCCCCCGGGGTAACGAAAATCTCTATATCCCTTTGAAGGAATGATCAAGCATGAAATTGTGCATTTCAAAAGTACATGTCCTCAAGTGAACCATCGCTGATTTCACCCAAGTGAATCCAATACGTTCCTTAGCAGCCCTTCATCCAGACTTTCCTGGCAAGACGCTTTATTGCATTGAAGGCTTCATATACAGAAATCCGAATAACCGACTTGAAGTTCTGTTGCTGCGGCATGATCCTGAGTCCCTGCCAGTTGCGGACATGGTTGACAGCAACTTACATGTTTCCTCGCCCGGCCTACCATGATGTTGGTGCCACCGTGATGATAACCTGAAGGTTGCAGTGTGAATGTCCTTGAGATTACTCCATGACTCGTGAGATCACAATATGACGCCCTTCTACCGTAGCACCCCCATTACAGACTGACTCGAGGCAGTGTCCGCTGCCGCTGCAGGCACTGCGGCCTCACTCGGAGTTCGGAGGAGTGCTGGAGCAGTTGTTCCTCTAGCAGGATCACCTCTTGAAGGCCACTAGCTCCTTCTGCGATGTTGCTGCCCATCGTCGTCATCCTCCCGGCAGTACGACAGTGAACTTGCCACAGTGAGTTGAGTTTGTAGGCTCCTCGTGGCCCGGGTGCTCTCGTTAGGAGGAGGTCCGGTCACCCCCTCGTAGCCATACAAAACAGGGGTGAGAGTGAGAGGGGGTGGTTTCAGGGTTTGCCGGGAAATGGAGGCGGATTATGGAGCAGTGTGGTGCTTTTCGGGGGAGGAGGAGGAGGAGGAGGAGGAGGAGGAGGAGGAGGAGGAGGAGGAGGAGGAGGAGGAGGAGGAGGAGGAGGAAGGGGATGCTACTGCTGCTGATGACGACGACGATGACGACAATGAGGAGGAGGGCAAAAATTATGAGGGCATCGAGGAAGGCAAAGGGGAGGACAACAAAGAGGTTCCGATGAAGGGTAGGAAGAGGAAGGCGGTTGAGCTCAATTATCAGCTGGACTGCTTCCGTCCAAGGCCTCAATCGACAGATACACAGGTTGGTCAGCATCGATCCACCTCTCACATGCTGCTCTTCAGCATTGTTTCTCCACCTCCACCCTCATTCCATCTTTCATTCTTCCGTCCTTCCCTGACTACAGTCTACTCATAAGGACAAGACTCCAGCAGGGATGGAGTTTCCGTATTTCGTCAACGAAAAAGAGTCCCTGAAAGGACAATATCAGGAATATCGACTCTCTTTGATGGGAAGATGCATTCAGCAAAGGATGTCAAAAAGCAACGTCGTTGCAGCCAGGATAGAGGATTTCCTCCATTCCAACGTCGAAACAACAAGTTACAATGAAGGAGAAGAGACGACTACGTTTGTGCAAAAACCTTTTGAAAGGAAGGTGAACACAGAAGAACCATTGATTGGATTCAACGAATGCATTGAATGAACTTTGTCGTCGCAGGCTCCAGCAGAGCCAGCATCCGAAGACGAGTCGACACGAGACGATGAGTGGAAGTGGAAGGATGATTATTACAAGCTCTTGCTCGGTTGGAGTCGATCCGATCTGAGTGCTCCACGAGAATCTATTGGGTTGAGGCAAATGCCGGCGGCGCAGACTAGAAGTTATGAGGACAAGAGGTAGCATTCCTGGCTATCTTAGATAGTCTGCCTCTCACGGTGCTGCTTCGCAGGGAGTACCTTGTTGGGAACCTTGAGTTTGTGGTAGAGGAAACGAGGGCGATGTTGCTGCAGTCGTTGCAATCAGTTGGAAGGCGGCAAGCAGACTTCGAGTTGAGTTTCGACGATCACCCTCACAAAGGTTTGGAGCATGTTTGGGGGGCTGGAAATCCCCCCTTACATCTATTCTCTCCCATCTCTCATTTTCTCTTGCCCTCCAGTCGCTTCCTTGCGCACGAAGCATCTCATCAGAGTGGAGTTCGATCTCCGTCAAACCAAGAAGTTCCAGCCATCTCCCGAGTTTCGCATGAGGAAGGTCTGGCTCGGACTCGACTGCAATCGCATACTGTCTCTTCTGATGTTCATTCTTCTTCGACAGGCACAGCTGAAGTCCGGGACAATTTTCCTGCTCACCTGTAAATGTCAAGAAAAGTCAGGGAAGTCCAAGGTTTCGGAGTTCTTCGCTGCCCTGGCGGACTCTTCTTCTAGGGATACTAAGGGTGATTCCATTCCCCTGTGGGTTCACAAGAAGAATTCGAAGACTTTACAGGACATCGCCCCCAGCTCTCACCTGCGAGCCTTCTGTCTTTGCTCAGTGATCAGCCAGACGCGAATCTACGCCTGCTGCTCCAAACACGTCAAGTTCCCCCTCTTGACAAGCATGATGGTGCTATGACACTCCTTGGGCGGTCTTTGCCTCTCACTAGACTCTGTTGCCAGGGGGCGCCTTCTGCTGAGTACATCCGCTTCTTGTCCTCCAGCGAGGACGAGGAGAGTTCCTGCAGCGAACCCAGCGACGCCGTGCCTTGTTCTGCCCTTCAGAAGCTCAAGTCGGGGCGCAGCAAGGCGGAGGAAGCCTCGGCCACTTCAGCACGCGGCCCGTTGGAAACCTTGTACGCGGATGAGCTGGCGGGGCTGTACCCGGCTCAGCGGGAAGCCTTCTTGAAGTTCATGGAGTCAGTCCACTCCGATCCCATCGTCTCGAAGAAAGCGAGAGGTCAGCGACTTCCTTGGCCTCTAGTCATGCTCGACTCACCTTGCCCGCAGAGCCCCCCGGCTTCCATAGGGCGAGTGGGACCCAGCGGCTGCAGGTGAGCAACTTGATGGAGGCGGTGAAGTTACTGTTTTCGGTGGACCAGCTCGTCCATGGGCCACCAGGGACGGGAAAGACGAAGTTGATCCTATCCTTGCTCAGAGCCCTTGCCGGGCACGTCAGGGCCGGGGGAGACGGGAAGGAGCGGAGGCCCAGGATCCTCGTTTCTGCAGCGACCAACAAGGCAGTGCTCGTGATGCTGGAGGGGATCCTGTCGCAGGGAGGAGGGCTCGACCCCCCCACGTGTGTCACGCTGCACGGGGTGGAGGAGAGGATCTTTGACTTGACAAGTAAGCTGCGCTGGGTCGCGGAGGGACGCGGTGAACTGACGGGGAGGATGAAGGTGGGGAGGAGTGGAGCTCGAGCAGGGCCGGCGCACACCTCAGGATCGAGGAGGTTCACTGCGGAACTCAGTTGAGCTCGCTGGTGCAGCACGTCTGCCTCCTGCGGCGAGACCTGCGGGGAAGCTCCAAGTCTGATGTGGTCAGGCGAGTGGAGGAGGTAAGAGAAACAGGCGGGAGGTGAGGAGCAGCTGCTGGTACTGATGGGCAGCAGATCGTCGCGAGGTACCAGCGCTGGTTTCCAATCAGCTGGAAGACGGAGATCGAACCTTTCTTCAGCAAGCTGTTGGGCGAAGTTGAGCAGATAGAGACGAACGGGAGGTTGCAAGGGATGGAAAGCAACCTGCTCGACTCTCTGCTGGAGGAGGTGGAGAGCAAGCTGAGAAGTCTGGAGCGGGATAGGAAGGTGGTCGACAACATAGCGAGCGAGAGGCTGAGAAACTCATCTCTCATCTTCTCGACTCTCATCAGCTCGGGCTCGTCCAGGCTTGGGAGGAGCTTGCCAGTCGACATCTTGATTGTGAGTCCGTTGGAGCAAGGGGGGGGGGGTGGGCGGGTGTCTCAGGGAGCAGAGGGCAGGAAGGAGTGAGAGGAGGTTGGGGGAGGGAGGACTTATGATGTTGCTTTAGGTGGACGAGGCATCGCAAGCTCTGGACGGTAAGGAAGGAGAGAAAGTTGAAATTTTCTGATTCTCGCGCACCTGCCTTCCTAGTGCACTTTCACCTCCTCCTGCCTCCTCCTGCCTCCTCCTGCCTCCTCCTGCCTCCTCCTGCCTCCTCCTGCCTTGTCTCCCACCCCCCCCCCACCCCCCCATTATCCTGGTCATACCAACATTTGGTTGCCAGGGGAGTTGCTGGTGGCTATGAGTTCTCTTAATCCACGACTTGCGCTGCTGGTCGGTGACCCTGCCCAGCTCCCTGCTCTTGTTTTCAGCCAGGTACTCTTCCAGCTCCTGCCTCTGATGCCGTCACCTCCATGCCCACTTCACCTCTCATCCTCCTGCTCTCCTGCTACCTTCTTGCTCCTCCTCTGACTTAGCTTCCACCGACCTCGATCTTTCCTCCTCTTCCTCCTCGCCTCACTTCCTGCATGTCTTACAGGACAAGAAGACCATCGCATGGTCGACGCCGGCCATGTCAAGACTGATGGACGGCGGTCAGCCCTACGTGCTCCTGAACGAGCAGAGGAGAATGCCGGACGCTATCGCTGAGTTCCCCATCCGCGAGTTCTACGAGAACAGAGTCAAGAGCATGAAGAGCAGGTCCGGGCAGCCCTCCGTCAATCTCCAGCCGATCCCATGGCTGCGGCAGTGCTACTGCTTCGTGGACGTCAAGGGGCAGGAGGAGGCGGGAGCTCTTTCTTCCGGCCCTGCTCTCGCTACCGACAGGAGCTACAGCAACAGGAGGGAGGCGATGCTCGTCTGTCACATCCTGCAGCAGCTCCAGGGACAACTCCAGCTTGTACTGGGCAGGGACGTCTCCGTCATAACCTTCTACTCTGCGCAGGTGGAGGCGATCTACGACAGTCTGAGGAGGAAGGGGATGAACAGGAGGACGGGAGTCTACACTGTTGACAGCTTCCAGGGGTCGGAGAGCGACGTCGTCTTGTGCTCCTGCGTGCGATCCAACGGCGGAGGAGGATGCGGCTTCCTGGCAGACAGGAGGAGGCTCAACGTTGCCCTCACCCGTGCCAAGAAACTGCTTATCGTCGTCGGGTCTGCGTCGACGCTGAAAAGATCTTCAAGCGCGGCCCTCCGCATGTTGGTGGAGGACGCGGAGAAGAGGAAGGTGGTGGTGGAGGAGGAAGAGTTGGTGGGCAAGGGGGTGAGGGCCTGGGGTGACAGGGAGCTGATGGGACGGAGGATGAGCCATGGAGGAGCTAGAGGGAGGGAGGCGAAGAGGAGGAGGGAGAAGAAATGAAGCAAGGGCAGGAGAGCGTCTTCATGATCGCTGGATGGTTTGGGCAAGAGCGTCGCAAGCCCGGCAGGGGGAGGAGGACGGAAGATTTTTCTGCTCCATCAGTCGGAGGTGGAGCTGCTGGGCCTCGTGCAAGAACTGCTCCTGTCGTGCGAGTCTCAGAAAGGGGAAGGACAAGAGGCGGCTGACCGCATGGTGATGGTCGTTGAGCGCGACTGCCTTCTCCCCCTCAGCGATGGCGTCGGCAAACCTCTTCTCCTGCGGCACATGTCACGTTCTCATGACATTGGAGCAGCATGGAGATGAAGAGTGAGAGACAAGGAGTGAGAGAAAGGGGAAACAGGAGGAGGAGGAGGAGGAGGAGGAGGAGGAGGAGGAGGAGGAGGAGGAGAGGAGGAGGAAAGGGAAGATTGAGGGGGAGAGAGGATGGAGGGGGGATCGCGAGTGATTACAGTAGCATTCAAGGAAGAAGCCTGAGAGCAAGGAGCGTCAGCTCAGCACAGCATCGGAGTGTCGCTGTACCTCTTCCATCGACTCCTTCCTTTTGCGCATGCTGCTGACTATTCCAGAGATCTTCTGAACCTGGCGGAAGGGAGCATGAGACAACAGGAGGGAACCTCCACATTCCTGCTCCTCACCAGCGCTCGCAGGTCCCTCTTCGTCTCTCTCGCCTGCTTCTCCTTCGTCTCTCGCGCTGTCGCATCCACCACGTAGGAGCCAACCTGCCGCACCTGCTGCGAACTTCAGCTCCCGGGGGCTCGAGCCTTGTGCTGTGGTGGACCTCGTTGGAGATGCGATGGATGCTGGAGGAGAGCTCCTTGATCTCATGCCGAACGTTGTCGTTGTTCCTCCTCCTCCTCAGCCCCCTGTTCAGCCCTGACTTACCAACGTCTGCCCGCACGCTCCTCCTTCACCTCCTTGCATCTTGTAGCTGCCCCACAAACCGATTGATCTTCACGTCCTGCCGCCGGATGGATGGCCAGCTGTGCAGGCCGGCGGCCCGATTAAGCTTCTTCACGAGCTTGTTCACCGTGATCGCCCTCCTCGCGTCCTTCTCAGCGTCTTTGAAGTCGTGCAGCTGGATGTTGCGCTTGCCCCTGTCGATCAGGGACGCGATCTTCGCTTGTTCCCCCTGCAGCTTCCTCCTCAAGGCTTGCTTCTGCTCTCTGCCACGTCGGGGGTCAGCAGCACATCCTACGGCCAAGAGCCTTCAGACCTGATCTCCTCCCTCTCCACGATGAGCTTCTCCAGCGCCTTCGCCTCCTTCAGGAGGTCCGGGTGCTTGTCGATCTCCTTCATGAAACACCCTTTGGCGTCCTCATTCCAGTTGCACACACAGCTTGCTTCCCTCGCGCATCGCTGCGCTGCTCTCGTCACCAGCTCCTTGAGGCTCGGGATGCAGTCTGGATCTGTCCTGCACTCCACCACTGTCTCATGCACCGGAGACCTCGACCGGAGCGACTCAGGCCCGGGGGGACCCAGGATACCGATGGTGGCCAACAGCAAGGCGGAGCAAAGGAGGAGCAAGGGGCGACTTGACCGATACCAGCGCTGATCTCTCAGTTGCAGCGGAGGCGATTCGACCATGAGCGAGCGGTCTCGTGTCAAAACATCCCCACGACGACCTGCCAGGTGCTGTTACGTCAGTAGTCAAGACCAGCCGTTCGCGTGCTAGCGCGGATCCCTACAGGGGACAAGACATGAGAAAGGGATGCCAGTGATGCCAGTGTTGGTGTTAAAGTAGGTGGATGTGGCGACGGGGACGTTCATCGTCGAGGTTAGGTTCCAGGTTACGTTTGAGATCGAGGTCGACACAGAGGGAGAGTGTGTGGTTTGGGGGTCTAATCTTCGAAAAACACGCTAATTCCCTCAACATCGTGTTGCTCTATTCGTCATATATCTTTCTTTCGTTATACCATGAATCATGGAACAATCTCTGACGGTCAATGAAGTTACATGGTAAAGGAGATTCGCCATGGTTGTTTATCATTATCCTCATCATCCTGAGTATCATCTCTTCCCTCGCTTCCTGCCCCTTCGTCCTTGTCCTGTTGCTACTCCTCTCCCTCCTCTCTGTCATCATCTTCCTATCTTTCCTCTCCCCTCGCCCTCCGACTCGCTTCCTGGCCCTTCCTCCCTGCCCGACTGCGATTCGATGCTGTCATGATTTGCTTCCTAGCTATGGACCCGGCGCCGCCCGCCCTCCGAATAAACAGTCTGGTCTCAGTTACGTAGCACTTCCGGAGTCCTATCGGAGTTTCAGAGCCGGAGGCCCGGAGGAGAATGAGGGGGATGAAGGAACCTCTGTTTTTCGTTTACTACTGCTGTAAAAGGATTTAGCTGTAAAATTCATTTTTAACCATCGCGTTTCTAGAACCCGACGCGGGTGGAAGGTGATCGAAGGGGTGGTGGGGGTACTTAAGGCTAGGTAGCCTCAAGGGTTGGGTTGGCCCGCCTCATGAAGGTGGGTTCCATGAAATACACGGGGGTTGTACAAATTGTTCTGTGATATGGGTGGGGTATTGTAAAGTACTCCCCTTTTCACCTAATTTCCATTTGTTTTCTATGGTGGGGTGAAGCACAAAAGAGAGGTGGGGTCTATGGGGTGGTACCAAGAAAAGGGTAGTCCTTGGGCTCTGATGTTCGGAGGGACGCAATGAAGAAGAGTGGCACATCGCCAATCAAGGGGGTAGGGTGTGGTAAGTGCATCCTAATGGACTGGTACCAAAGGGGGTCCTTCCGAGTCAATTCACATGGTGGGTGGTCAGAGAATTTTCTTTGTGTGGGTAGGGTACTAAGTACCCACCCGCCATTTCCCGCACCTAGCTTCATGTCTTTGTGGAAATTAAAATGGGGCGGAAGTTTATTGAGGGTGGGGTCCTCGATGAGAGCCTTAAAACCGAACGGGTGGTATGATTTGAGTGGATTCAAGGGGGTGGAATACAAATGGGGTGGGTAGTCGGAATGAAGGGGTTGAAAGGAAGTTTTGAGATCGAAACCTGTAAAGAGCAGGGTGAGGGTATAAATAATTGTTCAGCAAGCAGGTAGGTGGGGTAGTATCAAATTCAGGGTACTGGGGTCACAACATGAAAAGTCTCCGAAGTCGGGTTCAATCCTGGGGGTGAGGGTACCTACCCTTGAGGTCTACAAAAACAATCAGCTATGACAAAATACCATGAATAAGGGGTACTACCTATCTTTGTGGGTCACTAATGAACACAGGTCGAATACATGGGGTATCACAAGAAACAATGTTTCTAAGGTAGGGTCCATGTACAGAGGGGTACTCGAAACGGGATCGGGGGCTGGGGGTGGGGTGAGGACCCATATAAGATCGAAAGAATCGTGGCATGGAACTGCACAGAGTGTGAGGAGTTGGTAGAGGCTACGTACGCAACACAAAGATCATAAGAGCAGACTAGTTTGTCTTGTTGTTACCGTTCCTGTGTTTCAAGTTCTACTTGTCGACAAGTTCCAAAGGAGGCAACTCAACCTTATCCCTTGATTGATCAAAGATTCAAACCCCCTTCCTACCATCGAAGTTCTGATATGGCTTTGAAAGCTTCCTTTCTCTTTCTTCTTTCTGCCTTCTTGGCGGTGTCAGTGAATCAATCCTTGGCATTCCACGTTCCCGTGACTGGGAGAGCAGCTCTTGCTCTGCAGACCCCATCCCTGCGCTCGAAGACTTGCGTGCATGGGGCAAGCTCCCTGCGTTGTGCGACATCGGCGCAACCTCTCAAAGACAACATCTTTTTGAACAGGATGGCTACCAGCATGGAAGTAATGATCTCTCGCGTTTTCCCCGCCGGAGCAGGATGGCAGTTGGCATCCATCATGGCGAGCAATGCTGGAGTGGCAACAAACTCGCTCCTTTTCTGCAGCCTCCTGGGCTTTGGCAACTTCTTTGGAGTGATCGTAGGACACATGCTGTGGGAGGGTCTGAAGAAGGTCGTGAGAGGAGACGTCGATCTTTCCCGGGAGTTTCAGGTCGCGTCCTTGCTCGGTGGAGCCGCGTTCTTCTCTGGCCTGTCATGGCAGGTGGCGATGAATATCTTCAAAGCTGTCGGGGTTGGGCTGTACCAGTCCTTCACTTCAGTCGGCATTGTGTGCACCATGGCCTTCTTTCTGGGAATGCGCCTCATGCGACAGAACCTGAGCCCCATCATGTCGGCTGTGGACAAGAACTCGTTCGTGAACGTCCGGTCGGACATCGGCCTTTCCATTGCTATCGGAGGAGCTACGGCTGGTCTTGTCTTCACTGACGCCTTCTTGGGCGCATCTCCTTTCCTCGCCTTCCTCGAAATGAAGACGGCTGTATCTCCCCTCGTCTCTGTGCTCTTCGGCGGTCTTGCTTCCTCCTTGGGTTTCCTCGCCACCACGGCAGTCCAGGCTCTGAACAAGAAGAAGTGCTGGTTGGACAGCAACTTCAAACCCTGAGCAAATCGACGTTTCCCGTGAGGATGTGACATTTCTCTGTCAGTGTACAATATTCTTGACCGTCTTATCTTTTTGTGTGAGTTTTGAAATTAGTTCAAGTTTCGCTTCTACATAAACTTCACTTCAGATAATCGCTCTTGTGCAGCACATCCAAAGGTTTCCCGTTCTTCACCTTGCAAGATCACCATCAGCTTGTCACTGTAGTGCATCAATTTCACCTCCTCTGCCATTAGCACGATAAGGTGAGGAAGAAGCTTGTGATTGAGAGAGGTTGCTTTATTCGCCTTCGCCTTCAGCTGCTCGATCTCTGCACCTGAGAACAGCGGTCAAGATAAACAAGACCCGTCGATGGTGCGAGCACACGTGCTCCCTGCAGCTGCTTCTCTGCTGCTTTCAGCTGCAACGCAAGGTGAGAAGCTGCAGCGAACAAGGACGCGAGACCTCCTTCTTCAACTGGACGTTGGCGTTCTTCTTGCTCTCGTCGGCAAGCGAGAGCCGGAGATCTTGGTTCTCTGCCTCCAGCCGCACGCACCTGGAATGCAGTCAGCGCATTTCCTCTCTGCTCTCTGCGCCTTGATTGCCTGCGTTGCGCCGCCTCCTTCTCACTTCGCAAGCTCTCTGGGATCACGACATGAGCAGGCATCCCTTGCTCATGATGAACCCACCATGATCGTTGGCGCTCTGCTGCAGGCTCCTCCTCAGCTCCCGGATCTCCGTCTCCCGTCAGTCATAGAATGGGGGGAGCAGGAGATGAGATTCACTTGAGTCTCGAACGAACGGGAGATGTTCTTCTGCAGAAATAAGTGAGCAGCTCGTTTTCGCGGCTAGTCGGCGGCACACACTTTGTCTTGGACCAGCCGCTCGATCTCCCATGTAGCATCGTCTCGCTCAGCCTGAGCTTTCTTCACCTTGATTACATAGGAGCATGAGAACGAGCTATCGCTGTCCCCACACTGATACAACGCACCCATCACACCTCCGCCCCCCTCCCCGCCCCCCCTGGCTCCTTCCCACTCCGCCCCCGTCACCATCTGACGCAGTTCGTCAATTTCCTTCTGGCGTGTTTCGACGCTGAGGTCACATTGCACTGACGCGTCAGCCTTGCAGACTTCTTCCATGGACGTCAGCAGCGGTAGCAGATAAGTCGCCTTGCCTTTGGCTTTTTTCACGCTGTCTAGAGTTGCCTTGACGACGTCTTTCCTCTCTCTTGGCGATGGAATGCTGTTGTTGATCTCCTGCACTATCTGCATTGCCTGCCCCTTGCCATCAGCCTAGGACACCGAACTCTCGCATGCACCTCAAGCATCATGCATCGACTCTCTGCAGACTCGAGTTGAGCGAGGAGCTTGGAATCTGCATCTGCAAACTTGGAAGCCTGGTGGGGGGGCAAGCTTGAGGGCAGCAAGAGACAACAGACATCAGGGCACCGCCAACCGCAGGGCTTCGTTCTCAACCAGAAGTCCGTCGATTCTCTCTCTTTCACGGCAGCGTTCAGAGCGAGGATGAGGGAAAAACTGAAAGGCGATCATGTCAAATACTCACTGCTGATCTCGTGAGGTCTGCTCTAAAACTTGATATCTTCCCTCCATCTCTTTCTGCCTTTTCACACACCGAGTCATTTCGCACCACCTCCCGGGCAATTTTCAGCAACCACCTGCCGTGGCTCTCGACAAGGATCCTTGTGCATTCCTGCTGGAGCTCATCGAACTGATCCAAAAACTTGTTCTTTATCTCTTTCCCTGCCTCCTGGGCTTTCCTCAGGTCCTCTGACACTTGAACGACGGAATTTTCCGCGTCATGCAAAGCTGCTCTCAGCCTGAGAATCTCTTCCTGCAGCCCACGTGCTTCCGCAGTTGTGTCCTTGAGCCTCGTCCTCTCCGCATCCTGAAGTCTGGAACGATCTATCATCATCATGTTGCCCAAAGTGACACGTAGGACAACCGGGATGCAAGCCTCGATGCCTCCTCCTCTGCCGCCTGCTTTGCCTGCCGGGCAAGCAGGCAAGCTTGCAATGCAGAGTCTTTCATCTTCTCTTCTCTCTTGAGCTTCTCGACCAATTGAGCATTCTCCACTTTCAGTTCCTGTCAATCACGTTGCTGATCAGTCAAGGGCAGAAGAATCACAATCGAGCACGTTGAGCTCGCTGCTCCGTGTCACGTGGACTCCAGGTGGGCCACTCCTCCATGGCGTGATCCTCCTGGAGAAGCTAGATGAGTCCAGCTCCGTCTCAGCCATCCCCTGCGTCCTCTTCGAGCTTCAGTTCGCAACCTTCATGACCGTCATCGTCTGCGATCTGTACGACCACGGTTTGAAATTTCAGCAACCTTTCCGCAACAACGAAAGTTTCACTCGGTGGCACCGAGCAGGCGGCTCGAAGGCCGAGCCGCAAGAGGAGGAGAAACTTAGGTAGGAAGCCTCGGATGCCCGGGAGGAGGGGGACTGAGGGGACAGTGGTGGCGGAGGAGGCAGGAGGTTGACGTCGCTCAGCTTCTGGGGCTGCTGCTCTGACCGCTGCAAGCTTTTCAAAGTTGAAAAGTTCCAACCCCGGGCCGGAGTGAACGCAGTGCGTGAGGGGCCTCCCGGAGTCCGACCCGGTCAGACTCAGCCGCGGTTGCCGCAGTGGCGCAGTGCACGTGCCCGGCGGGCCCGGCTGACTCATTGAACTAGCCGGCGGCCGGTCCCAGCGGCCCTCACGGCGGCGTTCAACGGTTCACGGTGTCGGACACACTCATCAGCGACCGTCTTGTCACGGAGAGTCAATTGTACTTCTTTACTCAAAGGTAAGTTAAAATTCAGTACGAGAACAATCGAGAACAATCAGTGTACAATTTGTACCGTACCGTGATCCGATCGTTGACAGTACGGTGGTCAAAGTTCAAAAGTTAGGTTCAAAATCAGCACCGTAGGAAAATCAGGAGAGTCACCAGACAGCGAGAACCAAGGGCCTTATAATGCCGACTGCTGTCCCCCAAACTTAACTGATACCTTCACTTAACAACTGAGCGGCAGCGCATATCAACTGCCACTAAAAACCAACAACGGTCACTCAGGCAGAGACCGAACCAAACCAGCGGCTCAAGTTCATTTTACTACACTGTGATATGGAAACCTGCCCACTGACTTTCTGAGGCCTGGAACGAACTCTTTTTTTACTGCACACATGTCTGAGGCTCTCAAGGGGTGGGAGGGGGGCGAGGGAGGGGTGGGCGGGGTGACCAGTAATTTTTTTGCTTGACCCCTGATTCTGAGAGGGCACTGTACTTCTCTCCCGCCCGGTCAACTTCAAAAAAGAAACTGAAGATGACCCCCCCTTCCTCCTCACTCCCTCCCCCTCCCTCCCCATCCCGCCCCCCTTTAATATAAAATTCTCAGGAAAAAATCAATTTTTATTGCATTTGGCTAAAATAATAAGTCATGTCCAAACCTCGAGCTCCCTTTATGTGTGCTCCGGGAACTCCAATGACCATCACCCGGCCATGTTGGCATGCGTTAAATGCTGCTCGTGCGAGGACGACTGCCTGGTCTGCTCCATGAACTCCGTTCACGCTGCTCCCGTCCCTCCCTCCCCTCCCCGTCGCCCCAAGAAGTCTGACAAGTGGACCCAAGACAGGAAGCAGCGCCACAAGCTCTCCTGCAGGAACAAGAGCAGGCTCAGCCTCCAGGACAAGATGGACATCGTGTCGCTCTTCTACAGTCCGATGCCGCCGTCATCGTCGACGACGCAGGTGGTCACGCAGAGCTCCATCGCCAAGATGTACGGGAAGAGCCGCTCCGCCATCTGCAAGGTCCTCAAGTCGAAGCAGGTAGAGGCCTTGCTCCAAAAGGTGTTAACGGCCGGTGACACGGGAAGAGAGCGGTGGGCGGGGACCCAGGCCTTGCGGGAGGCGAAGATGCCGAGCATAAAGAGAGAGGGAGGGGAGGAGGAGTCTTCTGCGGACGCGAAGGAGCTTTGTGGAAGCGGGCGGGTCGTCGGAGGGGGGGGGAGGGTACTGGGCTGTATGGGGGGTAAACTATGTGACGAGCACAGATGCTGAATGTGAGCACCAAGGAAAGAGGATGAGGGAGAGGAGGGAGGCAGAGCGGGTAGACTCTAAGTCTGTAGATCTAATCATATGTTTGTAATGAAAAGTTATAGTTGCGAAGAGTACAAGAATGTATCTGAGGAGCCAGTTATTCGCATCTGAATGGACAAGAACCTTGATCAAATCGAGAAGCTTTTGAGATCCTCTGCTTTCAAATATTTTTGTATTATTTGACATATGAATCGTTATCTTGAATTTGCAGTCCTGATCCCGTCTCAGTAATGTCGTCATATGTGCACATTTGCATGTTCCTCGTGTTGAGCTTGTAAAACGCTGGGATAAATGCAATGAGAGCACTGGTTTAAGAGACTAAATGACAAATCTGGTAAAGGCGTCTTATAACTCCCAAAAATTGTCAAGCCTCCATGGCGTGTCCTCTTGCTTTTGACAATGCGAATGCGTCAATTCATACAATTCAGGTGTGATCTTGTAATGAAGCAAAGGGGGACGAGGACGTCCAATATCAACCTTGGACAACTTGATCTGTCAATCAATATCCATGATTTGCTCAACTACTTTGAACATGCAACTTTCAAGAATTTACAGAGGTAAAGTGAAAAAAGGACTTCTTGCTCATGTTGCTCAGAGATCCAAGCCCTGATCCTTGGATCCTGGAGCAAAGCTGTTCACGAAAGATCCATGGTAATGCATACCCGATACTTCAAAAGTGGTCTGCATGAAGCAGGGCAAGTGCAAATGAACCGATCCTGCTATGCTTTGAAAAACTCTCCTCGATTCCAACATCCCTGAGACTCGAGATACACATAGTCCTCCCCGTTTGATCAAGTCATGCTTGCTCTGATAGCTTCCTGACAGATTCAGTTTCTTGCCTGGGAACTTAAATCTCGTCCAATATCCTACATTCGTCCTCTAGTGAATTGATTGTAACTTGAGGACCTTGCAGATGGCGGAGCGGCTCTTCCCGTACATCTTGGCGATGGAGCTCTGCGTGACCACCTGCGTCGTCGACGATGACGGCGGCATCGGACTGTAGAAGAGCGACACGATGTCCATCTTGTCCTGGAGGCTGAGCCTGCTCTTGTTCCTGCAGGAGAGCTTGTGGCGCTGCTTCCTGTCTTGGGTCCACTTGTCAGACTTCTTGGGGAGACGGGGTGGCGGGGGGTGGTGGTGGTGGGGGGGACTGTGATCACGGATTCTTGCCTGTAGTAAACACATCTATAAAACGAGACTTTTAAAAGGTAAAACAACACTCACTGCGGCCTCTCAAGTATGGTACTCGTACTGATTTTTAGCTTAACTTTGAGTAAAGAAGGGGGGCATTGAGGTTATATGGATACTCTCTGGACTGAGTAATGCCGGGCCGGGTCGTGGCACCGTCTGACTCAGGTCACGGGGGAAGCCTTGAACGGTTGCCAACCGTAACTTCAGTGAAGCCAGTGGCCGGGTGGCCGCCACGGGCCCGGGCCGCGCCGCGCGCCCTGCAGGCCGGCCCGGGCCTGCTCACCGTCGTTCAACGGCGTGACGGTTGGGGTAGTAATAAAAACAAAGCATACGATAAAGGTTGAACTTCGAATTATAAATGAACTGTTTCAAATCCAGTAATAGGTAGATACTACCAAAAATCTTATCTTCCGAAAAATAACATCACTGTCACAGAGTCATGCTTTTCAGAAGGATCTACAATCATGATCGTGTTTGTAGATTTAAATATCAGTGCTGTTTGATATCTCTTCTCCTGTTCTCACCGGAGTCGGCGAAGGGGCTTCTTGATCTCTGCCCAGCTCTCAAGATGCTCGGAGCCTCGGAGCCCTCAACGATCAATCCCTTCACTATCGTTTGCCTTCCTCTTCAGCATACCGTCTCTATCCTCCCTACAAATTGCACTGCATTGAATTTGCACCTTTTTTTGTGACTCACAGAGTCTAGGCAAGCACGCCCCGTCGTACCTAGACTGCTGGTCAAGCGCGAGCATCCACATGTCTCGAATCCATGTCAACGTTTTCAGATCGGACTCACACCCTCCCTGGCCGACAGCAGTCACTGACCCTGTCGTGCTCGCTGTATTCTAGTAAACCCAGCAGTGATTGCTGGTTTGTTGTGTGTACAACACAACTTCAACTTTTCATTACAAACATACGATTAGACATATAGACTTAGAGCTTACCTGCTCTGCCTCCCTCCTCCACCTGCGTCGTCTTCGTCATCGACGGCGGCATCGGACTGTAGAAGAGCGACACGATGTCCATCTTGTCCTGGAGGCTGAGCCTGCTCTTGTTCCTGCAGGAGAGCTTGTGGCGCTGCTTCCTGTCTTGGGTCCACTTCTTGTCAGACTTCTTGGGGCGACGGGGAGGGGAGGGAAGGACGGGAGTCACTGGGTGAACGGATGTGAGCTGCTCTTCCCGTACATCCGGGCCAAGTTGGCAATGGAGCACTCTGCGTGACTCTTCACCACCTTCGTCGACGACGGAGCGACACGATGTCCATCTTTGTCCTGGAGGCTGAGCCTGCCGCTCTTGTTCCTACAGGACGCTCATCTGACGGCGCTGCCGTTCACGGTGGCAGTTCCAGCTCAACGGTTCAAGTCCGGCGCCCGGCGCAGCGTGACCGTCCTGGTGTGACTGCTGCTGTGTCGCATTGGCCTGCCCGGTTACCGGCGCCGATGCCATGGATCGAGATCAAGCTTGTTTGAAGAGATTCATTCTTTGCACTCTAAGACCCGTCATCGTCACGAGCGTGCTGCTCTCAAAAGCTCCGGACCAGAACAGTTCGTCATCAGGAGGTCTATTGCTGCGTGAATTTGATCAGTGCGTGAACTTGATGTATACTACTGTAAGAAGATGATATCATTCAGCATATCAGAGCCATTGCCCTCATTGAGTACACGACAGGGAAGCTTTCAACATCGCAACGCGTCATGTTGTCAGTCAGAGGGAGAGACCAAGGTACACGACAAGCAGGTCGGACGAGGATGTAAAGCGGTGTGACGTGATATGTACTGTGCTCACAGGTACACATCTTTACTCAAAGTTAAGAAAAGATCTGTACCAGTACTGTACGTACCACTGTACTGGGATCGTAATATGATGACAAAAGATTTTTGCTGTACCCTTCCTAGGACTTCCTAGGACCTCCCTCACACCATTTCCGCCGAGTGGAGACGGGGATGGCGACTGTTAGAGGCAGAGGATGGGGGGAGGACACAAGGACAGAGGGCAGGGGAGAGGAACTGCATGGAGGAAGTAAAATGAGTGAGTTTTGGAGGGAGATGGTGATTTTCATTGGACGGGATCAGACTTAGTTGGAGCGAATGCCTTGTGAGATGTTTTTCATCCTCCTAGACAGACATGCATGTCTTGACAAGAAGGAAACAACTTCAACGACATGCACCAGCCATCTGCTACAAGGGGGATAACCATATCATTGCAGGATTAACAAAGGGAGTATCTGCATGGATAACTCCAATCGCGTCGGGTCCACTCAAGATCCCATAGCCGCTGGTGACTGCAACCATTGTTGCGTTGGGTTCTTCTGTTCTGACAATTTTTCAGGCCATGGTTCAACTAATAACAGATTGTCTGGTGGGTATGATGAAGCGAACTACATGTGAGTAGATGTTTGGCTCTTCCAAATGGGCTGATGTTATTGGGTTCCATAGGCAAATCAGCCGTCTCGAACAGTTCAGTACTGTAGAGGTATTTGAAGGTGTTTAAGTCTGCTGTGTTGTTCACATGTTCTTGATAGATGGGGCCACACGACTCGAGCAATTCCTGGCATGGTTTAGCCTTTGATCAATTACAAGGGGCTTCTTCCCTTCCAGCCAGTGCTCGAAGTCTGACTGAAGGTCATGCCCCTTTTCTGTCAGCAATCCGTGACATGGATGTGTTTGCTCAGGGTCTGATGCCGCAGAAAAGGTGGATTCCCTGACCAGGCTCAACAAGGCTTGCGATCGTTGCAGGAAATCGAAGCTCAAGTGTGATTGGTCAAAGCCTTGTGCCCGCTGCGTGGAAGACGGTGTCCCGGAGCTCTGCCAGTTGACTGCACGCAAGAGCAGAAAAGTCTCAGACAGGCTCTGCACGAGCACGGCATGCGAGCCTTGCAGGATAGCCAAGGCTCGATGCGATGCAAATCGTCCTTGCTCCAGGTGCTGCAAGCTCGGTAAGCAGCCCCAGTGTGTCGACCACTTGGTGGCTGTCGCAGACCGTCCGCTACCCTTCAGGAACGGCAAGCTGATCTTCGGAGACGAGCTGGACAACACCTTTCATGTTGACTTCGGGAGGTTAGGCTGGGCGTATGGGCCCATCCGAAGGTGCTGGGAGTGGGGACATGACCCTGTAGCGATCCTGAGGATCTTCGAAGACCTTCCGCTTTACTTCCAGAACATTCTCCGTGTCGGGCTGACTGCCATCGAGATCGTTCAGAGGCACATGCAGAGCAAGCGCAATACTGCCGACCGGCTCCTTGCGACCAACGAGGCTCAGGCAAGGCCGATCCCCAGCGGATTCGAAGGTTTCGAGGATTACCAAGATCAGATGTGGGACCTCAACGAGGACGTTGGGTACCTGAAGCTCAAGTGGCGCAAGGTGCAGGAAGAGAGGGCAAGCTTGCAGATCAACAACTCGGTCTCTCGCATCTTTGGGACGCACAAGGAGGAAGTCCTCGCGCGTCTTGCCCGCCATGAGCTGCCGCTGTTGACCAGCGAGTTCGAGTGGCTGTGCCGGGTCATGGACCTGATCTTCTTCTCCATCTCCCCTAACTCGGGCAAGCCCATGATCCGCTTCGAACGGATTCACCACGTGGTTGGCAAAGAGTTCAAGTCTGCTCTGGCTTGTATCACCAACACGTGGGATCACGACTGGTCGGGCAACGTGCGAGCAGCGGCTTTCTGTCTGCGGCGGGTGCGTCCTCCTGCTCCCCCCCCGCCTCCCCCTGCAGCTAACACGATTCTGTGCAGGTCTCGATCGATGAATTTGATGCCCTCAGGAGCACCAACGCGTGCATGCGCCCTGTTACTCAGCACTGCCTAGGGGACATGTCGGCCCACCAGATGCTGGACACTTACCAAATGGACGTGGAGGTAGAGAGAGGAGAGGACGAGGGAGGAGAGGAGCTGACAATGAGCATGGCAGAAGCTCAAGATTTCGAACATGAAGCAGACGGAGCAGGGAAGGGAGATTTTGTGGAAGCTCGCAGACCTCTCGCAGACGCAACTTGCACCGGTAGTGGCGTATGCGGAGCAGCTGAAGAGGGCGAATGGGAGCTACGATGTTTTCTGACGACAGTTGTGCTGATCCTCCACATAGTCTCTTTGACCATGGATGTCTTTTAAACCCCCTCCCTCTTACCCTTCGGGTAACGCATTAAGCTCCTCTACCTCCCTTGGTCCTACTTTGCTGCTATCAATTTCATATGAATGCCGATAAAATTTGTTCGAGTCAAGAGCCGGTGAGGCATCAGGGCCATCCGGCGAAGGGAGGATGACGTGTCAGGGGTATGCATGCCAGAAGACGTCCATGCTCGCTCCGATGAGCGAGTGATTCTGCCATGGGCAGGTCAGGGTGAGGGTGAGGGTGAGGAGGAGGAGGAGGAGTTTGAGGGGCAAGATGAGGGGCAAGAGGTCGGGAGATTTCTTGCTACCTTGTCAGCAGCAGCGAGCTCGAACGCCAGCCGACCGAAGTTGGACGAGAAGGTCCCCACGAAGTCACTAAGACGAGGGTCAGCGACACCAAGTAGCACTTCCTTCCCTTCCTGCTCTCCACACGCTCGTGCCCCTCCTGCCTCACCCTCCTCCTCCCTCTACCTCCTATTGCAACTCCTGCGCCAACCCCCGTCCCTCCCCACTTTGCTCCTGCTCCACCTCCCCCCATCCTCCTGTATCTCCTGCACCTCGTGCTGTCAGGCCCCAAAATACCAGCCTGTCCCTCATCCTCCCCTCCTCCCTCCTTCCCAGCTGCATCCCTCCTGCTCCTTCTCCTGCTCCTCGTGTCCCTCCTCTCCCGCCCCCTCTGCGCTGACCTGCACTGAGAGAGGATCATGAGGTTGACGATCGCGTCAACCCCGAGCTGAGTTGCATTGATGCTGTGCATCTCCACCGCCTGTTGGACCTCAGCTGGGCTAGAGCTCCCCACTGACGTACCTTGTCCGTAGCAGTGCTCACTCCCCTCACTTCCCCTTGCCTCGAGATCACGTCGACGTCGCTCCTCCCTCCCTCCTCCCTCCCCCACTTCCTCGCAGCCTCGAGTGCCGCAGGGTCGTCGGTGGAGAGATAGATGGCGTACCGTTGCTGCTGTTCCCTGCTGGGGAGGAGCTGGGCCCGTGCTCTTGACAGGTCGCGTGCGGCCTCGAGGTACATGTCGAGGGGGATGACGGAGCTCTCGGTCTTCTTGTCGCCATGGCGAACGTGGACGCCGACGAAGAGAGGAGGAAGACGGAGAAGTTGACGCTCGCCATTGACCAAGGCCTGAGGGAACGAGGAGACAAGCAAGGTCAGGGAGTTGATGAGTGAGTGAGTGAGTGAGTGAGTGAGTGAGTGAGTGAGTGAGTGAGTGAGTGAGTGAGTGAGTGAGTGAGTGAGTGAGTGAGTGAGTGAGGAAGGGGGGGGGGGGGGCAGTAGTGACGGGGAAGATGCTGGGGTGTGCTGCGGGCCGAGACGTTCCGACCTGCATCTTCCAGTTGAGTCTTAACATGAACTTGACGATCTGCGACCTCCACCACATGAGCCCTCGATGTCTCAACCTGCGTCTCTGATCAGAGAACCTCCCTCCTCTCACTTCGGGTTCAAGAATCACATCCCAACCCCCTCACTGCTTCCTCCTTCCCGCACACTTGAGAGCTCTCCCTTCTCCCCTCCCTCCTTTACTCCTCCCTCTCAATCCAGCCCCTCTTGGACCTCCTCCCTCCTTCTCCCTCCCCTCCTCCTCTCCTTCCAAACAAACGCGGCAGGTCGTGATGGCAGGAACTACCTCTCAGGCACGAAGACTCGATTCTCCTTCCTGTTCAAGTAGTTGTCTAGCCGGCAGTCGGTGAACAGAACTCTCCGGCCCTCCTGGAGGCATCGGAGACGCCACGGGTCAACAGGGTCAGCACCTGCCTACGAAGACGTGCAAGGTCAACATTCTCCTGGGTCAGCTTGAACGGCTCCCCTTGCTCGTCCATCTCCTTGCTCCTCATCCCTCGCATGACCTGCTCTTCCGTGCACTTGCTGAGAGGCTCGAAATAACATTGGAACGATCTGCGGACAATCAGTCTCTGAACTCGTCTCCTCACTCCTGCTCCTGCTCCTGCTCCTGCTCCTGCTCCTGCTCCTGCTCCTGCTCCTGCTCCTGCTCCTGCTCCTGCTCCTGCTCCTGCTCCTGCTCCTGCTCCTGCTCCTGTCGCTTTCCTTCTTTCCTGTCTCTCCTCCTCCTTTTCTTCCTTTGTCCCCTCCCCTCACCTCGAAGGGCAGTCAGCAGGATCGGTGTACCACCTGCACGGAATCAGCTCCCTCCTCCTCTCCCTCTGCATCGAGCGACCAGTTGTCCCTGCTCCGTGCGATGAGCGTCCTGTTGGTGCGGAAGGCGTAGGAGAGAGCGACGGACATCACGTGCATCTGCAGCAACTTCATCCATCGCGCCTCCATCCCTTCGTCGCAATGCCGACCTGCGCGCCGAAGCCGAAGCCATGAATCTCAGACCCGATCTTTCCTGTCCTGCCGTCTCGCCGGCCGAGTTCGATGACAAGGAACCTATTGCAATCAGGATGGAGTCATTTGATTCCTATAGGGAGAGCAGAGGGGGAGGGGGAGGGAAAGGTGTAGGGGGAGGGTTGTAAAGCTCAACCCCCCGCCCCACCCCCCTTGAACTCACCCCAAAGTTCAAGTGGGGGGAGGCTTTATCACGCACAAGTTTCTACCTTGCTTGTTTACATTTCTTCGGATTTTGCGAGAGAGTGAGTTGTAGTTGAACCCACTCTTCATCTTGCAAGCTTGAACCTGAACTCTGAAGGAGCAACCTGTCATCACAATCATTATCAACATAACCTTATCTTCTCTTTCAAACCCTCTCCTGCTTCTGCTCTTCTTGCCCCCCTCCCTCTCCTTCCCCCCCACCACTCTCCTCCCCTTCTCACAGCTTACATTCGCCTCGCAGCCATTCTCCGCAGGGTCTTCAAGCTCGCTTCGAAGAAAGATTTCTCAACCTCAATCGCCTTTCTGTTGAGGTTGATCTGAAACACTCTTCCTGACGAGTGATCTGTAATCCACCCCGACGTCGCGTCGACTAGCAACTCCCTGGACCCGTCGGTCTTGGCAACACGGTCTCAGTGCGGGACACAGTTGCACAAGTTTCAAATCAGCAATGAAGATGTTGAAATCAGCAAGGGAAGCATTGAACTCAGCACAGAAGAGTTTCAAAATCTGCCATCACACGTCTGAAAATCTCTACCACCTGAGTGTCGACGGGCCCCACGAGCTTCTCATACCGCAAGATGGCACGCCGGGACTGACCAACCTGATCGCCCTGTCACAAGGTCCCGCAGGGCAGCAGCCCAGCGCCTCTTCCTACCTTGACGAGGGCGGAGAGCATGTAGATTTCTACCCACGAGATGATCCGCGCGTTTGGGCCCAGTCTCAGGACGGTCTGAAACGCCCGGCAAGACTCTCTTGTCTTGCCTATGAAGTCAAGTGCGATAGAGATCAGCACCCAGTTGACAGGCCCGCTCGGCAGCTTCGAGCTACGAGGCGCGTCAGTCGGACTCCCAAGGGACGTCAAGGCCGCACATGGCAAGCGCGTAGAAGTTGACAGCTGCCTCGTTCTCCCCGATGGCCTTTAGGTTGTTTGCGAGATGAAACAGCAGCTCCGGCCCGCACCTCTCCGGGTCTTGTTGGTATGCCGCGTACAGGTTGTCGCACACCTGGCGTCCCTCTCAGAACTCAGCGACGAGCGCACAAAGAACGACTTTCTCTGCGTCTCCCGCAAGCTGGTACAGCATGCCGACGGTGTAGCGCAGCGAGATGTTGCGAGGATCGTTGCGAGCAAGCAGCTCAAACATCTTTTGCTCTTGCTCAGATCTCAGATCGCACATAACTCATCGTTACCTCTATCTCTCTCTGCAGACTCACCGACAGCTCTGCTGCATCTGCTGCTGGCGGGCCCATGGAGGGATACGGGAGAAGAAAGATCGAGGCGACGAAAAACGTCACCGCTCTCTGAACCCAGCTCATTGACGATATCCGGAAGAAGCAATACGAGATTGTGGTTCAGGCCATCCTATACGATGCCTGCCAAACATTGCAATCATCATCAGCCTCGCTCTTCCCTCCTCCTCTCCTCGCTTGTCTTCCATCGCCTCACCTTACCGCGCACTCCCCGCCATGTCGTTGTTATCCGCACAATCCTCTTTTTTTTCACTTTTACAAGGAAAAACATATAGGGGTCATTATGACCATCCCCAATGGTCCAAGAAGGGGTGGGTGGCAGTCGAGCTAAACGTTCTGAGGCGAACTCTCTGGTTCGGATCGCTTCCCTTGTCTGCTCCGCCCTCCCTCTTCCAACCCCCCCCACTTCCTCTTCGTCCTCTCCTCCTCCTCCTACCTCTCCTCCACGTGCCTCTCCTCCTAATCTACCTCCTCCCCCTCCTCTTCTTCTCCTGCCTCTCTTTCTCCTATGTCTCTTCCTCCTATCTCTCCTCCCATTATTCCTTCCTCTCATCCACTACTTGTATAGCGGCTTCCTTCCCTTCTGTTGCCTCCTCTCCTTTCTTTCTCCCTCTCATATCCTCCTGTCCATCCTCCCCTTCTCTCTCCATCATTCTCTCCGTGGTCTCACCATATGTTATGCCACAGTCTATCCTGCCTTGAAAGCGCAAGGCTCAATGCTTGAGTTCATCTAGTGCGGTCGCATGTTCCATCGCATCCCCTGCGACAAATATGCATTTCCTCTCCTATTCCTCCTGGCCTCCAGCTATTCTTTCGAGTACCTGAAGCACCCAGAGGATGTCTTGGTTGCCGTGCGCCCAGTTGGGCGGCTGATGGAGTATGGAGCCTACAGGAACTTCTCGATTGAGCTGGGCATCGTGGGCCTGAGCCCTCGTTCCAACTACACGCTCTCCAGTCGTCTTGTGTTCCAGGACTTAAACACTGAGATGATTTGGTGCGAGCGGTTCGCGTGCGTGGGGAGATGGGTGCTGGCCAACCAGGGGGACGTGCAGCATGTGGTGGAGATGATGCCGCTGCCTTCGGGGAGTTATCGGATCGAGTTGGAGATCCGGGACAACCACCCGGACTATGAGAACGAGGAGGATGCGATCATGACGATGTACAACAAGGTCGTCTTCGTCGTGCCTGTCCTAACGGCCCTCCGCCATGCTCCCGGGGAGGCGAAGACCATTGTCTGCATCCCCGTCCTGCCGCGCCGGAATGGCAAGAGGTATGTCGACCAGGCGATCGAATCCGTCGGAGCCAGCGATGTGCCAGTGGACCTGATGATGATGCTGAACGAAGGGGAAGCGAAGCCGGAGGCAGCCCATCACCTTGTGGTGAGGAGGGACAAGGAGATCAAGGCGCCTTGCCTTTTCCTGACTTGGAGGAGAAGTTTGATCCTCGACTTCATCCATATGATGGAGGAGGCTCTCAAGGTTGGGAACCCAACCTGCTTTCTTCCTCCCTTCGCTGACATTTGCCGTTGGGTCAGCAAGCAGCAGAGCACTTCGTGTGGTTGGAGGACGACAGCGTCTTGCTCCCCTGGTGGACTGAAGCCTTGCCAGAGAGCCGGTCTCGCTGTATGATCGCCCTTCATGAGTGCAACTGCCACAGCTGTGAGAAGATTGGGTAAGGGAGGAGTGAGTTTGATGTCTTGACGTGTGCATAATTCCTTGCTCTCAGAGTCTACAACGGAGTGGGGATGGTGGCAGTCCTCTTTTTTCGCAGCAGTCTGGTCGGATTCATTGACTTCTTGCGGAAAGAGGAGGGGAAGGGAAACTTTTTTGTTCCCCTGGACGAGCAAGCTCTTCGATACTGCAAGAGGTTGATGCCATTTGCTTCTTCTCTTTGTTCATCCTGCTTTCAGGTCCTCCTCCCTCCCTCCCGCAAGCTTCTACCTTCCCACGGCTGCGATCCACATGGGGGATGTTGCTTTGGGGACGACAAAACCTGACATGCGAATGAAACTGAACATCTCTTATCCTCGCGATGGCGAAGTGTTCAACTCTTCCCAGATTGTCGGGATGGGGATTTCGGTACAGACATCCTGCTTGTGAGGCCTTCTTCTCATCTTCATGCAGGTTTCTGGGTTCGTCTTTGATGCAGAATATGCTTGGCTGTTGCGAATCAACGACAAGTTCGTTCATCAGAGGAACTTCCAGGTTCCCGCACCGGTGGATCATTTTGATTGCACCGACAATGCAGTATGGGCCGATCACGTGAAACGGTTGAATCTGCTGATCGGGAAGAATGTTGTGGAAGTGAAGATCTACGAGCTCGAGTCTCATGTCAACCAGCAGTTGATTGAAGCCAGCATCACAGTTGTTGTTGCAGATCCTGAGAACTCTAGTGGAATTGATTCCACTAGTCCCACGGTAAGTGAGGAAACAGCAAGCGAAGGGCGAGGGCAGGGCAGTTGCTCAGATTCTCATAATTACAATCAGCGAGCGTCTGTTTGCCCTCCATGACAACGTGGGGTGGTGGAGATCTTGGTAGGATCGGTATGGGAGATGCCTCCTGCACCTCAATCCCTATCTTCGTCCTGACTACTTCAGACCGCAAGCGTGTTCACAAAAGGCAGATGCTGCATTCGATGGGAATTGTTCACTCCTCGATCGTCTTGGTGGAGGTCGACCAGACAGGAGAAGAGCAAAGTTGTGCAGTTGGATCTATCATCCCAACCCTCCTCTCAGGCAACGCAGAGGATGGCTGCGAATTTCGGTCGGAAGCCCTGAGGCAGCTCATCCGGAGCAACGTGGTGGAGGGAGTCAACATGTTGGGTGTGTGTGGCGATAGCCTCTCCTTTCTCTCTCTCTCGCCTCCTTGCAGCAAGTTGCGAAGTTGATGGAGGACTTGCCCTCGTCCGCTCACGTGCTGTTTCTCGATGTGCAAGAGGAGGCGTGCCACGAGTGCTGCCTCCTCGGGTGTGCAGCCATCAAGGCGCAGCAGGGGAACAGAAGCCATGATCTTCATCAGGAGAGGAGCCATGAGGTGTATGGAGGAAGCGGCGGATGTCACGGGGGGGGGATCTGGGGTTCCGAGTATTCACTGCGGTTCCTCCAGTCTCCTTCTCGGATGGACAGGAGAAGCATCGTTGGCTCAAGGCCATGCCAGGCAGAGGGATGTAGCATCCAGTGGAGATAATGGTGGTCGGCCGGCTGAAGAAGCATCAAGATCCGTCGCACGAAGAAGGGAAGAAGACGGTCGAAGTGATGGGGGTGAAGAGAGCCATGGAACAGCTCAGGTGGGATGGAAGGTTTCTTGTCATCTTGCAGCAATCATCTAGTCGAGGTTACGGCATGGATGAAGTGTGCAGTCGAATGGTTATGACGGCAGAAGAGGATCTGGAGCAAGACTCCCTCTCTCCCCAAGCCTCTGTTTCAAGTCGATGAGCAACATCACATCAACACCCGTCTCTGTTGTGTTTCTCAATGTTTTACTTGACAACCCACCGGAATCAAAGTGCGATCACACCATTCCTCTGACTAGGATCTTGTCCAGCACGCTGGAGTCGCTTAGTGACGGTTGTAGAAGTAGTCCCACTGGTGGCGGGCACGGCGCCAGTCATCATAGGATGCGGCATCGTTGGCGCGGTAGTAGGTGTCCTCAGACTCCTGGTAGAGAGCACGAGCCTGGGTGTTCTGAACGAACGCCTGGGTGTAGAGGTTAGCAGCCTTCTTGCCGTAGAGGATGGTGCGCATCTTATCTGCGGAACAAAATAGAATCAGTACCGAGAAGAGAATGAGATGATGTAAGACATTTCGCAAACATTTCGCAAACAGTACACAGCACCAAAGTCACAGATGAATGAATTTCACACAGTATACAAAAAAAAGTGAAGAACAGTGATAATGAGAGAAAGGTACACAGAAACATAACCACAAACCCGTACTTGCATCAACATGAAATGAATCTTTGTTGGGGTACAGGGTACACTTTCAAGCATTGCATCGTGAATATTCTGCACATTGCATCGAGAAAAATTATGATTAATGAATACGCAATGCAAGAAGAACATTGAACTGATGCTACATCATCACAGAATAATATCTCATACACACATGTCAAATCATGAAAGGCACCCGTCAATTCTAACCAACAAAACAAGGAAAGACCACAGAGACATCAGTACACCACGCGCATCTCATTCAAGGAAATCATGTGATGATCATTCCAAGCGCTGGGCACACTACACGTCTCTCCTCCATCGCCTCCCCGCTCCTTCTCCACTTCCTCTCGCGCGCGCATGGCCCACCTCTTCTGGTGACGACTCTTCGTGCCCCCCTGAAGAGCCGTCCTCGACCGTTACACCCCTTCAAAACGTTATTTTATCCGTTATATAGATTCAATAACCGTTACTTAAACGTGATTGCCGTATGATGTACGGGTGGTCATCATCCTGTACCCACCACCTTTAGTGAAATGCAATATGTTTTATAGGGGTACTTTTGAAAAATCAGGGGTACTGTAGCTTTTGCCGTTGGCTATTACCCACTCTTGCCTCCCCATCCTGACAGTGGGAATTCATGGGGTGCAGGCTGCACCCCACCCCTATCTTTCCCTGTATTGTAAGAGCAAAATGGGGGTGGGTGATGTTCACAGATAAGAGTTGACCCTACCCACCACGGGAATGTGAGCATGTGTATGTTCAATAGGAGGGTAGGGGTATGTACCCTCACCCCACTTTTCTAGGATCTCGTGGGTATGCTGAGATGAGGATGCTACAGGGCGGAGAATGGTGATGGAAAAGCGCATGAACAAGGGCGAAGGAAGAAGGAAGAGAGAAGAAGGAGGAGAGGGGATCGTGAGAAATAAAAAGGAGGAAAGGAGGAGGAGGAAGAAGATGCAGACGTTGAGATGTGCTGGGAAGCTAGAATGGTTTTCTCGTGGCTCGAGAGGGGATGTGGAGCACAACAGAAGGCGGGTCTTCAAAGATTCCTGCTGGAAGCATGAATGAGAATGTAATTGAAAATCGGTATTTGTTGCATTTTCGAGCCAAAATCATGAAGGAGCATCAGAAAAATTGTTACAAATGAGTTTGAGAGCTAAATGCAGCCACTGGATACTAAAGATGCATGTCGTTTCGGAACTAATGCAAATCCGCTTTCAACCTCTTCGCTATTTTATTTACAATGACCTGTAGGCATGGATACGCCAGGATTTTCTCCTGTCACGCCATTACAACAGAGGAGGAACTTGGCTTCAGCTACAATCCTGCAGAAGAAATCTGCCCTGCGGCAGCGACATGGGGTAGTTCATCTGCTGGTAATCTGGCAGGAAGTACTCACTGTGCCTGTCTGCAGCAAGTCGGTCGAACTCCGGGGCCTGAAGATGCCCCCACCTTGAGAGACTCTGCTCAAAGACAAGGATACATTGACGCCGATCATGAGCGTGAGATTCATTCGGAGTTCGATTTGCTATATGCGGATGCCCAGGCATCGAGGTAAGCTGAATGTGATGTCATGCAACGATTCGCTGCCATCTAACTTCTGGCGGCAGGGGAGCAGGAAGTGGTCCAGGGCTGGGCAACACGTACAGGCGAGTTGGACAACAAAACTTCGACCCCAACACACCGATGGTCAGAAAATCGATCCCTTCTCCCTCCCCACCCCTCCTCCCTTGGTTCTTGTGTCTTTCTTTGTCTGCTGCATTGCGCTGTCCTGCTCCCCTTCATCCAAACCAGCTCTCTCAGCGTAGGATTTTTCCTTGGTCCGCTTATCCCCATGCGGCTGAGGCAAGTAACCTGCGCGATATCTGCGGTTGGACGGGTCTTGCTTGCAAGACGCCATTCTTGCAAGTTCCTTTCAACCCAACAGTCTCTTTTCCTTACTTCTTCTTTCCTTCAAACACATTCTTTGTTATTGTGTTGATGTGGCTTTGATACAGGGTGGTTTCTTTTCGCCTCAACAATCTACATTCATTTCTGGTCAATTGCCGTGAACCTTAAAAAAAGTGGTGATTCTTTCTTCAGCTATGTCGCCGATAGCGAATAACAACATGCACGAACTCACGTTTGCCACTCCTCATCACACTCGTCAGGTTCAACTCATTCCTTCTTCTCTTTCACCGGTTGATTTTGCCCAGCTTGCATTCCAGCATGAGAATACAGCAGCTATGCATCCAGCCATGTAAATCTTGGTTTTGAATCTTGTTTCCCTGAAACGTATCTAGGCCTACCTCCACGGCAGACACTGAAGCTGATCGTTGGGTAACCATATTTGGATTTCCGCAGGTAGAACTTCAAGGTTCGAAGCACATGCTTTCTTATGTTGTCTGTCAGGGATATCAAGATGGTGTGCTGCGTTACATGAGAGATAGGGGGGAGATCGGTAGGTCTCCATTCAACTTTGATCTTTTCATTTTGTTTTAGTTTTTTATGAGAGAGATTTCAGAGGAATGGAAATATTCTGGGACGAACTACCTGGCGGTGAAATTCAAGGATCAAGAGACTGGTACGCCGGACATTTGTTGCTTCTTATGGTAGTAACGAAGGTTTGTCAGTGGCTGAGGCGCTTGGCTTGAATGGTTCGATCATGCCAGGAGATGGTGGGCAAAATTTGATCAACGCCTGAACAGGCCGGCATTGATTCTAACGCTTCCCTGCTGTACCTCAGGACTTCCCGGGGACAACTTCATGATCGGAGTCAAACGTGGAGCTCAACTTGGCAATTTCAATTTGCAAGAGTGAGAGAGAGAAGCTGTCATGTGTCAAGGCTAACGTTGAGAAGGAAAAGACCATCGCAATTGGACAAAGCTGCTGCCAACCCGTCATCAGTCAAGGACAAGAATCCTGTTGTCACCAAGAACTCAGCTTTGCGAGGGGGAAGGTTGTGGGATTTCCTGATTGTTTTCACTTTTTCTGACATTCTTTTTGTATTTGTCACGGTTCAGCTTCGGAAGATTTTTATCGGAACTCTTTGAAATCACAGATCTTAACGGATGAGTAAATCAGTGACTTCCGAATGTGAAATTTCCACTATAGCTTGACCACGCCGCCGCACTGCTAGGACGGTCACGGGTGGCGGCCGCACGGCTGCCCCGGCCGGCCCGGGCCCGGCCCTGCCCGGCGGCGCCTTCCATTTCGCACCGACTCCGTGCCTCACCAGCTAGTTCAAATATACGTTCACTGGGCAATGCACCCCAGGATGTACCGGCGAGTATGGCAGAGGAGAACTAGCTGCCGAAATGCGCATCAGATTATTGTCATGGTGCTTGCAATCATGATGTCCTGCGGCATGTTGTCACCGACGTCTGCAGTTGTCGAAGATGAAACGTGGGAGAAGATGTTTGTGCAAGGAGTCGACGAAAAATCGTTGAAAGACTATCTGTTCAAGATTACAAGCTACGACCATGTCGCAGGCACCCTGGGAGACCTCAGATCCACCAACTTCGTCAAGAACAGACTAGAATCATCACTCAGAGACACTCCTGCTCTCGTGGAGGTAGAGGCTGTTCCGGTCATGCTGTCCTACCCCATCAGTCGGCAGTTGAGAATGACAGAGCCGGTGGAATTCAATGCCAGTCTGAGCGAGACCATCTTGCCAAACGATGCTACCTCAGACAACGTCTGGAGAAACCTCTCTTTCAACGCTTATTCGCCCTCCGGCAACGTCTCTGCGCAGCTGGTGTACGCCAACTACGGTGACCCGGACGACTTCGTAGCGCTAGAGAAGCTCGGCGTGTCCGTCGAGGGCAAGATTGTGATTGTACGGTATGGGTCGACGTTTCGTGGTCTGAAGGTGAACTCCGTTGATGTTTGCTTCCTCCCTTGTCATGATCGATGACTGCCCGAGCACAGGTCATGAACGCCGAGCGGAGGGGAGCGATCGGCTGTATCATCTACAGCGATCCTGAGGACGACGGCTACCAGCGCGGACCGACGTACCCGGATGGGCCATGGAGGCCGAAACAAGCAGTGCAGCGAGGATCCGTCCAATTCAACTCGCTCTGTGCCGGCGACCCAGCACGCAAGTACTCCAAGAAGTCAACGATGGACCTTTGCGGGTATGCCGTCGAAGACCTCATCCCCTCCATCCCTGTCCTCCCGATCTCTTACGAGGATGCTGCTCCTCTGCTGCAGAATCTTGTCACTCCTGGAGACCTCCCTCCTGGCTTTCAAGGCGGTCTTCCCTTCAAGTATGCGACAGGCCCAGGTCCAGCCCACGTCAACCTGCTCGTAAACAACAAGTTCGAGGCTCGCAGGGTCTGGAATGTCTTCGCTACCATCCCCAGCGGCAACTTTGGAACAGCAGACGACAAGCTCGTGCTTGCCGGCAATCACCGCGATGCGTGGGTCTATGGCGCCGCTGACCCCAACTCTGGGACCGCTGCTCTACTCGAGATGGCCAGAGTCTTGGGGGACATGTTGAGGAAGGGATGGAAGCCGAAGAGGACTATCGTGCTGTGTAACTGGGACGGAGAGGAGTACGGGCTTCTTGGGAGCACAGCATGGGGGGAGAAACGAGCTAAGGAGCTCTCCTCCAAGAGTGTCGTCTACCTCAACGTGGACGTCGGGGTCGCCGGCCCGCACCTTTCAGTGCACGCCTCTCCTTTCCTCAGCCCCGTCATCACCAACGTCTCCCGCATGTTCGTTGACCCAGCAACGGGTCAGCCTCTCGATCGAGCATGGTTTTGAATCTTGTTTCCCTGAAACGTATCTAGGCCTACCTCCACGGCAGACACTGAAGCTGATCGTTGGGTAACCATATTTGGATTTCCGCAGGTAGAACTTCAAGGTTCGAAGCACATGCTTTCTTATGTTGTCTGTCAGGGATATCAAGATGGTGTGCTGCGTTACATGAGAGATAGGGGGGAGATCGGTAGGTCTCCATTCAACTTTGATCTTTTCATTTTGTTTTAGTTTTTTATGAGAGAGATTTCAGAGGAATGGAAATATTCTGGGACGAACTACCTGGCGGTGAAATTCAAGGATCAAGAGACTGGTACGCCGGACATTTGTTGCTTCTTATGGTAGTAACGAAGGTTTGTCAGTGGCTGAGGCGCTTGGCTTGAATGGTTCGATCATGCCAGGAGATGGTGGGCAAAACTTGATCAACGCCTGAACAGGCCGGCATGGATTCTAACGCTTCCCTGCTGTACCTCAGGACTTCCCGGGGACAACTTCATGATCGGAGTCAAACGTGGAGCTCAACTTGGCAATTTCAATTTGCAAGAGTGAGAGAGAGAAGCTGTCATGTGTCAAGGCTAACGTTGAGAAGGAAAAGACCATCGCAATTGGACAAAGCTGCTGCCAACCCGTCATCAGTCAAGGACAAGAATCCTGTTGTCACCAAGAACTCAGCTTTGCGAGGGGGAAGGTTGTGGGATTTCCTGATTGTTTTCACTTTTTCTGACATTCTTTTTGTATTTGTCACGGTTCAGCTTCGGAAGATTTTTATCGGAACTCTTTGAAATCACAGATCTTAACGGATGAGTAAATCAGTGACTTCCGAATGTGAAATTTCCACTATAGCTTGACCACGCCGCCGCACTGCTAGGACGGTCACGGGTGGCGGCCGCACGGCTGCCCCGGCCGGCCCGGGCCCGGCCCTGCCCGGCGGCGCCTTCCATTTCGCACCGACTCCGTGCCTCACCAGCTAGTTCAAATATACGTTCACTGGGCAATGCACCCCAGGATGTACCGGCGAGTATGGCAGAGGAGAACTAGCTGCCGAAATGCGCATCAGATGATTGTCATGGTGCTTGCAATCATGATGTCCTGCGGCATGTTGTCACCGACGTCTGCAGTTGTCGAAGATGAAACGTGGGAGAAGATGTTTGTGCAAGGAGTCGACGAAAAATCGTTGAAAGACTATCTGTTCAAGATTACAAGCTACGACCATGTCGCAGGCACCCTGGGAGACCTCAGATCCACCAACTTCGTCAAGAACAGACTAGAATCATCACTCAGAGACACTCCTGCTCTCGTGGAGGTAGAGGCTGTTCCGGTCATGCTGTCCTACCCCATCAGTCGGCAGTTGAGAATGACAGAGCCGGTGGAATTCAATGCCAGTCTGAGCGAGACCATCTTGCCAAACGATGCTACCTCAGACAACGTCTGGAGAAACCTCTCTTTCAACGCTTATTCGCCCTCCGGCAACGTCTCTGCGCAGCTGGTGTACGCCAACTACGGTGACCCGGACGACTTCGTAGCGCTAGAGAAGCTCGGCGTGTCCGTCGAGGGCAAGATTGTGATTGTACGGTATGGGTCGACGTTTCGTGGTCTGAAGGTGAACTCCGTTGATGTTTGCTTCCTCCCTTTTCATGATCGATGACTGCCCGAGCACAGGTCATGAACGCCGAGCGGAGGGGAGCGATCGGCTGTATCATCTACAGCGATCCTGAGGACGACGGCTACCAGCGCGGACCGACGTACCCGGATGGGCCATGGAGGCCGAAACAAGCAGTGCAGCGAGGATCCGTCCAATTCAACTCGCTCTGTGCCGGCGACCCAGCACGCAAGTACTCCAAGAAGTCAACGATGGACCTTTGCGGGTATGCCGTCGAAGACCTCATCCCCTCCATCCCTGTCCTCCCGATCTCTTACGAGGATGCTGCTCCTCTGCTGCAGAATCTTGTCACTCCTGGAGACCTCCCTCCTGGCTTTCAAGGCGGTCTTCCCTTCAAGTATGCGACAGGCCCAGGTCCAGCCCACGTCAACCTGCTCGTAAACAACAAGTTCGAGGCTCGCAGGGTCTGGAATGTCTTCGCTACCATCCCCAGCGGCAACTTTGGAACAGCAGACGACAAGCTCGTGCTTGCCGGCAATCACCGCGATGCGTGGGTCTATGGCGCCGCTGACCCCAACTCTGGGACCGCTGCTCTACTCGAGATGGCCAGAGTCTTGGGGGACATGTTGAGGAAGGGATGGAAGCCGAAGAGGACTATCGTGCTGTGTAACTGGGACGGAGAGGAGTACGGGCTTCTTGGGAGCACAGCATGGGGGGAGAAACGAGCTAAGGAGCTCTCCTCCAAGAGTGTCGTCTACCTCAACGTGGACGTCGGGGTCGCCGGCCCGCACCTTTCAGTGCACGCCTCTCCTTTCCTCAGCCCCGTCATCACCAACGTCTCCCGCATGTTCGTTGACCCAGCAACGGGTCAGCCTCTCGATCGAGCATGGGACGGAGCCATCGGGACGCTGGGCTCCGGGTCGGACTACACAGTCTTCCTTGATCATCTCGGCATCCCATCGGTCGATTTGTCATGGCGGCACAATACCAGTGCCTACGGCGTCTACCACAGCGTGTACGACAGCTTCTCCTACATGGTGCAGCAAGTTGATCCAGACTTCCGCTATCATGCTCTCTGCACCAGGTTCTGGGGGGTCACCCTCCTTCGGTTCTCGGATAGTGCTCTCCTCCCGTATGATCCCAAGAGCCTTGCAGGAGCGTTGAATAAGTACTTGCTGTACGTCAAGAGCATGATGAACGCGACGGTGTGTCGAGGACAGTGCTCGGAGATCTTCAAGGTGGTGAAGCAGGAGGGGAGTGGTGTGTTCCCACTAGACCTCAGTGAGCTAGAGGAGGCAGTCAGCGGCTTCACGACCGCTGCGTCCTCTCCTGCGCTGCAGCAGGCCATCGCATCCTGCAGGCAGGAAGGAGCTTGCAGCAAGAGGCTGCTGCTCCGTCTGAACGAGGCAATGAGGAGGACAGAGAGAGCATTCCTGGATCCGGCAGGGCTCCCTGGGAGGAAATGGTTCCGCCACATCCTACAGGCGCCCGGGCTGTACCTCGGGTATGGCGCTGACATGTTTCCTGGTATCTGCCAGGCGATTCGTGATGGGGATGCGAAGCTGGCGCAAGAACAAGCGACGCGCTGTGCGGGGGTTGTGAAGCACGCGAGTTCGGTTTTAATGAGCTGGCAGCAAGACAGAGAAGTCGTTACTTGAAGGAAGACTGTACAACAAGAACAACAAGAACAAGAGGGAGAACAAGGGGGAGGAAAACTATGGGGAAAACAAGATGATGAAGAAATACAATGTCACTCTCAATCCTGTGCAATCTGCGCGATCAGAAAATCGACGAACATCTCTGCAGCCTTCTCCGACGTCGACGGGGTCTGGCCATCGTCGGTCACTACCTTGAGAAACTGCCTCTTAATCCTCCTCTGCTCTCCGATGGGGACGACCCGGTTGATAGTGACGGGCTTGCTGCAGTACGGGAACTTCACCACCCCTGCCATCACCCCCTCTGACTGGCTCTTCTGAAGGGTTCCGAGGATCTGCGACGTTATCACATCTATCTCGTGCAGCATGTTCTTGTCCGCCACGGGCTGGGAGACTGTCGCCAGGTTCGGATTGAGGCTCTTTCCTTCGATCATGCTCACCACGTCGTCCAGCGGGAGGACCTCGTCCTCTGGCCGCACCACAAACAGCGGCCTCTCCCATCGATTCCTGTCGTTGGGCCGCTCGAACCTCTGCGGCAGCTCCGCCAGGATGCTCTCCCCGTACGCCCCCGTCCCCGCGTTGAACCCGGCTATCTGCTCCACGGTCGCGTCGCAGTGGATGGTGCACATGGTAGTCCCCACAGCCCGGGCGATGCAGAAGAGCTCGTAACGGAATCCCTTGATGTAGTTGAGATCGTCGGCAACGACCGTCAGGTTCTTGGTCAGCGTCCGTTCGATCGCTGCCTTGAGAGCGGACCTGCTCATTTTCTCCGCCTGCAGGGAGAGGATGAGGGAGGGAGGGAGGGAGGGAGGGAGGAAGATGGAGTTAGCGGAGAAGAAGAGGATACGGGAAACCAGTTTAGTTTAGTTTGGCACAAAATATCCTGAATGATCACCTGGGAATCCTTATAGCTTTCATTTCTGTCTATACCAAGACTCTCGTTGTTGATCAAAGTGTGTGAGATTCCCTTCTCAGCAAGAAAGCTGCACAGCTCTTTTGACCTGTTCGCACGCTAGACCATCAGGTTTTGCAGAGCAAGTGGCTGAAGTGGCTCACCTTGTGGTTTTCCCTGAGGAAGGGTATCCACAAACAACGACCAGAGGCATGCTACCCTAGTCGAGCATTCATGGAAACTGTAAGAAACAAAAATCAGGCATTAGACTTTCATTCGGTTTTAAATCTCTCAATTGTGTAGAACCTTGATTTTATGATTGCTCTGAAAACATAGCCCATGCTGTCCTTCATGGCTAAAGTCAATTTGTACCGCTCGCTCGTGTCTCGAATGTTATCTCTATGGTCCAGCTGCTCCTGCTCCTGCTTGTTCTACTCCTGCTCCTGCTCCTGCTTGTTCTACTCCTGCTCCTGCTCCTGCTCCTGCTCCTGCTCCTGCTCCTGCTCCTGCTCCTGCTCCTGCTCCTGCTCCTACTGCTGCTCCTGCTCCTGCTCCTACTGCTGCTCCTGCTCCTGCTCCTGCTCCTGCTCCTTCCTCAAATCGTTTCCGCACATGCACTGTGCTGTATGAGCTTTCAAGGACCCTACCCGTTTTTTGACTTCTCATAACCTACCACCCCACAACAATTAACCACCCCACGCACCACCCCATCTTACGCTGGAATTGTACCCCTTCTTTCGGTTTTCCGGCTACCCCAACATGACCTACCACCCCCGGGCATGAGTGCTACATCCCATCCAACTACCCACCAACTGAAATGAAACTTGGTTGAATCCAGGGGGTGTGATTGAGATACACGTCCCTGAAGGGGTCGTTTGACCGAATCATCAGGAGGAGACTACGGGTACTTTTTCTCAAGATACATTTCTGTAGGGGTAGAATTCAAAGGGGTGGGGTGGTAGTCGATGTGCCAGATAGATAAGTATGCTGATGACAAGTAGGGAGCAGGGAGAGGAAGACGGCGATGCAGGAGCGAGAGAGTCTCGATTCCGACATGATCGTCAGATGGAGCAGTAGGAAGGAGCAGGAGCACGATGACCATAACGAGATCAAACAAGACATGGGCAGAGAGAGCTCCTGGAACGTGAGACGGGCTGAGCTACAGCAGAACAAGTTAGTGGAGATAGATTATCTGGAGATAGATAGTTGATAGCGAGAGAAGGATAGATAGGATAGATGGAGAACACAGGTGGGGCGGGGACTCGAGCTGATTTCATGGTTGAGGGTGAGATCATAAAGTAGTGCAGGGTGATGATTTGAAATAATGGTCATACACGACTAACAGGAAAGAGACTGGATATGGCTGGATCAGCCTTGAAATAGTAGAAAGGATGGCGGAGCAGTGATATGATGCGACATAAACTTAACTAGAAGTCAATTCTTCAGGATTGAACCATTTCTTTGTTGAGAACTCTCGATAGAGTATGAGCCTCATCAATCAACACTCACATCAAGCATGACGTCTGATTGTGTTTGTGCGCAGATCCCTGATACTTGTGAATGTGTTTTTGAGTGCTGTTGGGGTCGACATGCTTGGGTTGCGGAACGATGCAGACCTTCGGCCGGTTATCTGGGTCTTCAAGTATTACCTCATATCATACCTTGCATGGACATATGAGGATTATTTTCGACATTCATATCTTCTGTCATTTCTGACAGTCCTGGTGATTTCTTACTACTCCTTCGCTGGAGCAACGATCACTCATAACACGATGCATTCCAAAGTTTTCTATGGCAAGTGGGCGAACAGGATCTGGCAAGTTCTTCTCTCCTTGACCTACGGGCATCCTGTCAGTTCCTTCGTTCCAGGCCACAACCTGAGTCATCACCGATACACACAACTCCTTCAGGATCCCATGAGAACCAGCAAGCTGCGGTTTCGATGGAACTTTTTGAATGGCCTGTTGTTTCAGCCCATCGTTGCAGGAGATGTCTTCAAGGCGGATGTGAGATACATCAACATGCAGAGCAAGATTCAGACTGCCAGGGCTCAAGAGTTCTACACGAACTGCATGCGCGAGTTCTCTATCGTCGGCTTGACGACGGTCCTCCTGCTCGTGCTCGACCCCCGCAAGTTCTTCGTCTACGTCTGGTTTCCTCATTTCTTCGCTCAGTGGGGTATCGTGTCGATGAACATGCTGCAGCACGACGGCTGTGACCTTGTCCCTAGCCTTGTGAGGGAGGAAGCAGTAGAGAACTGGAACGGCAGCAGAAACTTCGTGGGTCCCCTAATCAACTACCTGACATTCAACAACGGATATCACACTATTCATCATCTCCATCCTACTATGCATTGGTCTAGGCTGCCGGAAGAGCACGAGCGAGTAGTCAAGCCGAAGATTCATCCTTCGTTGGATGAGCGCTGCATGGCGAGGTAAGGCCTGCTCCTTCTCCTACTCCTACTCCTTCTCCTGCTCTTTTTCCTTCTCCCCCTCCTTCTCCCTCTCCTGCTCCTGCAGCTGCTCCTGCTGACTTTCCGCGCCTCCAGGTACATTGTCCGTGCTTTCATCTACCCTGGAAAGCGACTGGACTACCTTGGGAACGAGGTCAAAGTACCAGCAGGTGAGAGAGAGGAGGCGAGCCGGTGATGCTGATCAACAAGATGCAGAGCCCGAGCCCGAGGACGCTGATTGGACTCAAGACTACGCGCCTGATGGGCTCAAACCTCAAGATTATCAGGTGGCTTTTCTTGTCAGCTCTTCACCCTTGTGAGCTCTTGAGCAGGTAGACATGAGCTGGAAGGGTATCCTCCGAGCTCTGCCGCTCATCCCCCTCAAACTCCTGGCGCCTCTCTACTCCCCTGTGCATAAGATCGCCTAAAAAGCGTTCGCTCCTCCTATACTCAACGTCTTCATTCGTGTGATAACATCACTATGACGCAGAATGAAATAAAGCCATTCATGTCGGAAACACCCGTAAGCACGAAATTCGTATGTTTGCATTTATTGGAGAACAGATTGAATAATGTTTCTGCCTTCTTATGCTTGCATGCGCTTGGCAGCCTCGCGAGCGACAGCCTTCTCCTTCTGGCGAGTCTTCTCCTGTGACTTGGCACCCATGATGCCTCCACCCCAACGACGCAAATCTTCAGCCCTGTCGTTGAAGTTGCTACGAACGTTATCCACGAGCTTGGAAAATGCTCCCTTATCCTGCAAACGAGGGTCAGTTACCACGTATCCTTCATCTCTTCCATTTTCTCACCTCATCCCGAATGTTGGTGAACGCAAGAGCAGTAGCGTTCTTCTTGTGAACGACAGCTCCGAGCCTTGCCTTGCCCTTGACGATGCAGTAGGGGATATCGTGCTTGCGGCAGAGAGCCGGAAGCCAAATTACAAGCTCAATAGGATCGACCTGCGCACAGACCATCACATGCCGCATCGGGCAAAGGGAGAGCAACTCACATCGTGAGCGATAACGACCATGGTTGCCCTCTTGGAGGTCACGAGGCGCTCGATGTGGTTGATACCGCACTTGACGAAGCAGGGCATCTTGTCCTCCTTAGCCTTGCCGCCAGCAGCCTTGGCCTCAGCCACGGCCTTGAGACGCTGCTCCTTGGCCTCCTTGGTCTCAGGTCTGTACTTGTTGAGCATCTTGAAAACCTCAGCGGCTGCAGGCGAGCATCAGCGATGGAACAAGAGGGAGGAGAATGAACGCACCAGTGTTCTTATCTACAGTGCGGGTGAATTGGTGGATGGCAGGAGGGATCTTGAGACGCTGGTACAGCACCCTGCGCTGACGCTGAAGACGGACATTCTTGGGCCACTTGACGAAGCGGGCAAGGTCCTTCTTGGGCTGGACGTTGTTTCCAATGCCGAAGTTCTTAGGAGTCTTCTGGAACAGAGGGTTCTCCTCCTTCTTGGCAGACTTCTTGGCCGCAGCCGCAGGAGCCGCACTCTTGGGTCCCTGAGTCACATCGTCTCAGCCACAACAAGCAACCGGGAAGATAGCGTGCAGGTTTCATGTGCTGTGAATGAAATGCCACAAACAAACACGTCTCGAATGTTAGATCGGCAACTCAACACATGTACTCAGAACTCAACACACAAGTGAAACAATAGACAATCGCAAGCTGAACGCGGAATCAACACTGCTGAACGTGATGGTATTCACACAACAACCCAACTGACTGAAATGAGACAGGAAACTCGAGGGTGGTGATGCTATACATATGAGAAACATGAATGAACGCGAGTCCAAACACAGTGATCAACGTCTTTCACATATTCAAGTAAGCTACAAGACATCACCAAGTAACAGCTGCATCATATAGCTCAACCTTTCACGGATCAGGCATCAACAAGAAAGAAGTCAAAGTGTCTTTGCAGAGAAATTTTTGTTGCTCATACATGATTCTTTAACATATTTTACGAACATGAGATCACAGGAATAATAGCACTCTATCGCATCACTTGTATACCACATGACTGCCATGCCCAACAAACATCACTTTTCATGGGAACACTATCTCATCGAGCTTGACAGGTTCTGTTATGCTCGGATGTTATACCATCTGGCATCATCCTTCATCTCATCTCATGTTCTTCCTCCTTCTCTCCTCCTCCTCGCCTCTCAGCATCTCCACCCATCCTCCCCCTCATCGCCACCGCCTCCATCACCTTCGGCATCGCTCGCTCGAGCTTCGCACGCGCACGCGTCTGGAAAAAAAAGGCTCAGACCTAAACACCCCTACCCCTACCGACTCCAGAATTGCAAGGTACCTCGGGCTCTCGCAAATGTCCTCACTACGGGTATCTTTTGATATGAACATTACCCGTGTTGATGTCAAAAGTACCGGTACATTTTGGAGGGGGCCCCATACCACCCCACCATTGGTCCCACCCTTTAGTTTATTTAGTTAGGGTTGGTTGTTGAACTAACCCCCTTGACCCGCGCCAAAGCCGCTCCCAATGGCGCCTTCGGAAGCCGTATGCATGTGAAACAGTGTGAAAGGAAAGGGGAGGGGGGGGGGGAGGAGAGCAGTGATGACATGCTGGGACAAATCACTAGTGATGATGTGTCATTCCATGCTATGCTATGCTATGCTATGCTGTGAAGTGATGTGAAGTGATGTGAAGTGATGTGAAGTGAAGTGATGTGATGTGATGTGATGTGCTGTGCTGTGCTGTGCTGTGCTGTGCTGTGCTGTGCTGTGCTGTGCTGTGATGTGATGTGATGTGATGTGATGTGATGTTATATGATACGATAGGGCATGGTATGACAAGACATGTGATACGACCGGATAAGACATGTGACTTCCAGCACTGTCCAAACCCTTGAGGCTTCCCACAAGATGTTGAAATGTCTCGCGCTTAACTTTGCAGAGCAATCAATTGATTTGTATGTATGATTGAAATAATCAAACAATATGGTCTACAACGAGATGGTAGGCAGCCCCTCCGATTTCACTCATTCCTCGATGATAGAAACTGAGGGCAAAACTCTGCAAAGATCTTGTCCAAGGTCACTTCCTGCTCCTTTGCTATGTCTGCCGCTCTCTGCTGAAAGTTTTCCGTCATCTCTTTCAAATCGTTCGCAAGAGAAATGGCAGGGACTTTCGCCTTCAAGGAAGCTTGTTAGAAAGCTCAACAAGCAATTGTCTACATCTCACCAATGAACACTCGTCCCTGTTGAGGTCTTCGTAGATTTGGATCTGTTGCACAGTCAACGATCGCAAGGGCAGAAGTGGGTATCATCACGAATGTTGCAGCTGCGATGAACCTTCGGATGTATACGCCAGTCATGAACATCTCGTCCTCTCCTGAACTGTCGTCTTCTGATGTGTGCCGGCCTGTTCTTCGCAGATACGAAGGGCGACTCAGGCTGAAGAGATTGGAGCTTGCTTTCTCAATCAGCTCGATGTCGTGCTGAAGGAGGCGACAGTCAGAAAGTCAACAACAAGCAACACAATTGCAGCTCACCCTCTGACGGAAACGACCATATTCCTTCTCGGCAAGTTCCGACGAGTACCATGACTCCACCATCAGCTCAGCATCTGACTTCGGGAGGCAGTTCTCAGCCATGTCTGACGAGTCTTCGGACTGAGAAGACAGCAAGCTTTCAACAGGTTTGGCGGCAGCTGCTGCTTTCTCCTGGTTGTAGTCGGTGTGTTGAGGCGCGCTTGGTTGACCAACCCCAGCAAGAGGAAAGGAAAGCGCAACTATGAACCTCTCGGTTGTCGTCGACTTGCCATACGAGTTCTCGCCGAGCAAGATTTGACCTGACATGGGCGAGTTGCTCTTATAGATCTGGAAGGAGATGACAGAGGAGGTCTTGGCGTTGAGACCCTCAAGTAGCATCCCGTCCAGCTTGCGGAATCCTTGAGACAGCCACTGTGGCGCCACTGGGCAAGACTCTATCAAGATATACAAATAGGCAGGAGCCCCGAGGTGCAGGGAAGACTGACAGAAAGCATGTGGGCCCTGCATAATTTTTCAACGTACATTACAGGCCGGGCACAACCAACCTCATAGGGCTTGAGGATGTAAAGCAGCCCCGAGAGTTCTTTGGGAACGCTGTGGAAGACGATCGTAGAGTCACGCATGCGCTCCTGGTGGTTAAGAAACAGCGGCTCATCCTTTGCGATATGGCCGGTAACAAACTGTTCAAAGCTTGCTTTGAGACTATGAGCAAGTGGGCTCGAGATGTACTTACCCGTACAGTGCTCAAGACGTGCTCATATTGTTCTTCGTGTATCTCCAGAGGAATCTGGAAACGTGTCATCAAGGGCTGCTGGTGTGCTTTGGAAGATGTACCCGATTCTCATGAATCCAATGGTGAACGTGCCCCTCAAAATACTCCTTGGCAGCCTGCAACATCAGCGTCATGGGCATCCACGTGTACAGCAGCACTAGGCAGATCATTGTCACCTTGGAGATCTTCTTGAGAGATTGCAGGCGAGCGTTCGAAGCTCGCTCCCTCAATGACAGGCCGTCCCTCCCTTTGCCGATCTCCACCGCTGCAAGGGCATCGCAGATGCGAACGGCCTTGTCGCTCGCCTCTTCGATCGCTTTCTCGCGATGCTCAATCTGCTCCAGCCTTGCCTCCAGCTGCTTCATCCTTCCTTGACATGTCTGGACTTTGTTGCGAAGCTCCGCCATCCGCGCCTGGTTGTCCTTCTCTGTCTTCAGAGTCTCTGAGTTCAGCAGCTTCGCTGCCCTGCATGCCTCCGAGACCTTCCACCTGCTCGACAGGAGGCATGCGTCAGACTGCTGGGGATGAGACGGGACGTCAGACTCACAGCCCTTTCTCTCCCATCTCCAACTCCGTCATCCATTTGATGCAGTCCTTGGGCGGCGCTCCTGGCTCAATCTTCCTGAGGCCAGTGAAGTTGCTCTGCAGTCCCTTGACGCTCGCTTCCTCCAGGCATCCGTACCCTCGAGCATCGGGATCCGCACTTCCTTTAACAGACCCAGCGCTCAACTGGAAGGGAGCGCCTTGCCCGAGGGAGAACATTGTGACACGAGGATGCCTGGTTGCGTACCTTACCTCTCCTGCTCTCCGCTCCTTCCCGCTCCTCTCTTTTCGTCCTGACCTGACCTGACCGTTCCTGTCCTGTCCTGTCCTGTCCTGTCCTGACCTGTCCTGTCCTGTCCTGACCTGTCCTGTCCTGTCCTGTCCTGTCCTGTCCTGAGCTGACCTGAGCTGACCTGACCTGACCTGACCTGTCCTGTCCTGTCCTGAGCTGACCTGACCTGTCCTGTCCTGTCCTGTCCTGTCCTGTCCTGTCCTGACCTGACCTGACCTGTCCTGTCCTGTCCTGTCCTCTCTTCGCTCACTCCTGCCTCCTTGTCCTGTCTTTCCGCCTCCCTCAAGTCCCCCCTCTTCCTTCCTGGCTCAAGTCAGGCTTCCCTCCTATCCAAATTTTCACTCACATTGGGGCAGAGATTATCTCATAGCCCCGGACCATTATCAGTATTTGCTGTCTTTTCCCCCTCTCCCTTCCTCTCTCCGCGTGCAGCGCAAGCTTCGCTTAGAATCGGCTGCGCCCTCCACCTTCCTCTTTCTAGCCGCCCCCTCCCCCTCCCCCTCCTCCTCTGAGCCTCAACTCTGCTAGCTTGTCTCCCTTGCTGCATCTCCTCTGCTTCCTCTCAACAGTCTTGCTGCGATGGGAGTCTTGTCGTGGGTTGGTCTGGGAGGGAAGAAGTCTGGCGACGACGAGCTTTTCAGCGACGATGCAGGGAACGGGGTAAGTTTGTGCGCATTCATGAATCTACCTGTATGCCGAGCTCAATGAGGAGTGACGGTTTGTGTTTCAGCAGAGCAGTCAAGCCGACAAAATCAAGCAAGTTTACCAGAAACATATGGCTTCCAAGTACCTCAATGAGCTTGCCTCCCAGATCTCTTTCAAGTGCTTCATGAAGTGCTCGAATGAGAGCTCCATGAACACATCGGAGAATGGTTGCACAGCACTATGCTGTGACAGATACCTAGACACGATCAACTTCGTCCGTCAAGTGATGTCGACGAGGAACAGCAGATAATCGTTTCTTTGAAGGGACGAGGAGTGGATACAGATGCCTCGATCATTCTTCATGCTCTGCTAGCTGCATGCTCTATTGTGGGAGCCACTCATTTCATTCATTGGTGTGTTGATAAACATTCGTACTGACGTTTGGGTGAATAAAGAAATTCATACCTGCCGCATCGCCATGTTAGTTTTTTTCATGAGTGGCTAACCATCTTGATAAGTCAGACGCATTGCATGGTTACGATGTTTGAACTCAGTACGAGGACAATCAGGAATTATTTACATGAAGGAACAAAGGTGTGAACTTGAGAAACAGAGGAGTCATCTGAGGATGTCATGGTCCAAGAACCTCAGCCTGTACCGTCGGACTTGCTTCATCACTTGGCGCTAAACAAGCTTCACTAAGTACGGCCAATTGTCATTTCCAGAGCCACTTATCATGCGCCGATGATGACAGTGAGAAGATCGCCGGGAATGAGAGACTCCGCGCTGCCAGTATCATGCCAACTTGGCAAGTTTCAAGCCGGCGGCCCGGGGCCCGGCCGGTACCGTCACGATAGGCTAGTACTGACCGTCCCGAAGTTCACGGTTCAACGGTTCAACCGAAGTTCAGTGGCATCACTGGACTGTCAGGGCCTGAGTCAGCGGAGCCTGGCCCACTGCCCAGTGGGGCGGCCCGGCCGGGCGCGCCACCCGTGACCGTGACCCGCTGCCGTGCACGGCTGTCGGGCGGTGCCGCGGGCGGCCGGGCCGCAGGCCTCAGTGAGGCCCCGGGCCGCGCGGCGCCGCCCGACTGGCAGCCGGGCGGGCCCGGGGCCGCCCGGCGGCCGCGGGCCGGGCCGGGCGGGCCGCCCGGCGGTGACTGAGCGGGGACGAGGGCTAGTGGAACCGATATGGGACGAGGGTCTGTCAGCGGAAATAGAACCATGGAGCGGTTCGAGGCGTGCACAGCTCACGCCAATGCCGCGGGGTGGGAGGGTCGAAGATGGGGAAGGGGAAGGGGAGCCATCGCAGCTACTTCGGCGGCACTGCTTCTATGCCTCGTTGTCCTCGTCTCGATCGGAGGGAGAAAGACTTCTGTCTTGCAGGAAGAGGTGAGATGATAGTTGTCCATACTTGTTTGTTTGTTATGTGGACCAGCACTTGCTCATTGATGTCACCCTTCACTCTATCTTCTGACATATCTTCACCACAGGGAACAGACTCGAAGATGGAGGCTGCAGAGAAGCTGGCGAAGTGGTCAAAGGAAGTGAACGATTTGGAGGCTGAAGTCAAGAAGTTCGAGGTCGAGGCCAACGAGAAGGCCGTGGACGAGCTTGTGCACCTAGCTAAGGTCAAGGATCTGCTAAATCAGCTCAAGGATCAGGTCCCTCTTGAGGCTCCTCCGAAGCCCTGGAGCTACGAGGGAGCGACTGGGCCTGACCATTGGGCTGAACTCTCCTCTGACTATCAGCTTTGTGGTGCTTGCTGAGTACGGCGCGAGGTTGGTGGTGACGAAGGCGGCAGGTACCGGGCAGCAGCAATCTCCCATCAACATCGAGCTTGACCTGCAGCAAGCGTCTCTCCCATCTCTTGGATGGGTTTTGCCCAAGGACGTAAGGCCCTTTGACTTGCTGCCTCTCGAGCACACGTGCGCGCGATGGCGATCTGAAGCTTTCTGTTTCCATGGTTCAGAATGCTGCGGTGACGACCAAGACCGGAGACAGTGCGCTAGCTGGACGTGAGTCTCCTGCCAGCTCCCCCTGTGCCTGGCTGAACCTCCGCGCAGGGGAGTTTTACAACGGCCACACGTTTGAAGTTGAAAGCCTTGGGTCACCTACTCTCCTTCTGGGTGGTGTTACGTGAGAAACCTTTGTGAAGGGCGACGCTCTTGCTTGCTGAGCTTCACTGCAGATACACCCTGGAGCAGTTCCACTTCCACACCCCTTCCGAGCACAAGGTTGCGGGCAGGCACTATGATATGGAGATGCATTTCGTGCACTCGGCCATGGTGGACGGCCAGAAGAAGCTTGCTGTGATTGCAGCATTCTTCGAAGTGGTGTGTGTTGTGCGATTCTGATCTTTACATGTGAGTGACTTTCTATCTTCAGGGCGATAACTCTCCCGCGTTCGTCAAGCAGTTGTTCGAAACTGCCCTACCGAGCGTCAGCAGTAATCCGACGGCTTTGGCTCCAAACTTGGACTTCAGGGTGAGAATTTGAATGGTTCCTCTTCGCCCCTGATCCTGTTCCTCCAGGGGATCGCCCAGGAAGTTCTCGTCGGGACTGTCCCTACCAAGCTCGAGTCCGCCAACGAGTTCGTTCCCAACTTCAAGAACTACTTCCAGTACACGGGATCCCTCACAACCCCCCCTTGCACTGAGGGTGTGACGTGGGTCGTGTTGAAGAATCCAGTTGACATCACGGTAGGATTCAAGGAGCTCCCCTCCCTCCCTCCGCCTTCTCCCTTTCAGCCCCCTCCCCCTCTTTCTCCCTTCAATGTCCTCGCCACTTGCGCTGAGTTTGTCTGACACAGGCGGCCGATCTCAGCGCCATTCAGAATCTGGAGGGAAAGAACAGTCGGCCGACACAGCCGTTGAACGGACGTGTCGTCCTTGACGTGGGCGGCTCAACCCCATGAACGCAGCCCTCCTTCTCTCCCTTGCAAACTTTTATCATCACTTAAGCTAGATTCTACCCTCAAGTCAGTGTACAACTGCAACCAACAACTCAATAAATCAACAGAAGCCATCTGTTGCCATCTCTGCTGCTAGTCGCTACAGGTCTGGTCCAGAGGAATCTGACTCGTCGTCCGTCCCTTGCTCCTCGTCCTCTTCGTACACGAGATGAAATCTGGGCCATCCTCTCAGTCCCTACACTCATCCCATCGACAGTACCTCCCCATCAATCCGACGCAGCAAGAAACCAGCTCGTCACTCTCTCCGAACTGAACCTTCCACGTACCTGACACAGCAGGTCACAGGGATCGAAATGAGGACAAGTACCGTGAGTCGCAGGATCCGGTTCCACCAGCACCCCAACCTGACCCACGTAGGGCTGGCACCAATCCTCGTTTGCAAAGGATGCAGCTATCTTGACTTTCTCTCCTGGTTTGATCCTCTTGTCAAAATCTTTGACGATCCCTACACCACAGTCAGCAGGACAGCAAACAGCAGTCTCAGCATGTGACCTCTCCCCGCATCACTGACAGTCCTGCCTCGGAAGTCATCCAACACAAGGTCAACTTTCGCCTGGCTCAGGTCCTCCTTCCTCCTGACGTCTGCCTCCTCCCTGCAGATGCTCCTCTCCATCGGCCTCGCTACCCCCTTGGATGTCCTGCTCTTCCTTTGAAAGACGCCTTCCTCCAGCGACGGCAGCCTCGAAGCAAAGTGAATCGAGCTCCTGCCCTCGTTGACCTGCGTGCTGGCAATCTGGTCGGCGAATGGCAGAGGAGTAGGAAGCAGTTGGATCCTCTTACCTTGAGTCGTGTGACTTGACCCTCCTCCACTCCTGCCCCACGTTCCTCATCTCCTGCCGCTCCTTGGAGCTGATCCGTCCTGGTGCTGCATGGCGCACAGGGATCAATTGGAGCATGTTTGCACTTGATTCTGGTCTTTCACCTGTCTTCCTAGGTGCGCTCATGAGGAGAGCTTGCACGGTCGTACAACAAGGCAACCTTGGTGCTGCGTAACTATCAGATCAAATGATGTCAGTCACCGTCTGAGTCTGTCATTGAGAAGATAGATGGCGTGTTGGAACTAGAGCAGCTAGAGAGAAATGAGAGTAGAGCGAAAGAGGAGGAAAAGGACATGTAAATCTGGTTTCTGTCAAAAACAAGCGCATCAACAACAAATGTCATCTTCATGTTCGAACCGAACGACGATATTCATGTCGACGTCTTGCATGCAGCTATACATGCCCCCTGGATCAGATCGCACCCACTTGCCATGGCGGCACATCAGAAGCTACACCATCGTCCTCTACTGAGAGCGCAGCTGCTGCGCTTGCATGTCGACGCGCGGACTAGGGGAGCCATAGGGCCGCAAGGGCGAAAGGGCCACTGCCAGGCAACTGGCAAGGCGGTCAATCCTCTCTGGTTCTTGAAATGTCTGCCTTTTTCAATTTACTAGGAATGAATCTGAGGCGGGCCTATGTTTTAAAAGAAATCGAAGATATTTCATGGTCGATGATGGACAGCGGGTGTTAGAGCACAAGAACAAGTTATGCTTTAGGTTGTATGTGGTGTAGAACAGAAGAACAGCGCGCGTTGAATGTCTCGTTACGGTACTACTCAGTTCCTTCGATCCTCATGTCCTGCTGGTTCACTTCCTCAACCTGGGTCGAGGAGGCTCGGCAGACCAGTCGACGGTGACCTGAGCAACGGATGTTAAAGGAAGAGGGAGGGACGGAGAGGATACAAGATCAGGAAACTCAGAAGCAGATTCACGATAGAGTTCCATCTCCTGCGCAAGATGTAGATCAGAAAACGAGAGGACGGGGCTGGCGTGTTTGGAAGGAGAGGGAAGGAGGAAGAAAGGACAAACCTCGTCAGTCAGGAGACAGTCATCCAGGAGTGCTTCGATCTTCTCTTTCTGCATGTCTACCCCAATGAACACGATCTCCTGTCGCCTGTCCCCCCACTCGCACTCTTTGCTGCCAAAGTCGGAGATGATCTGTCAAGGGTCTCAGCCAGCTGCTCTCCCAGCAGGGAGCTGAAAAAAACGCCCACACCTCCTTGAGCTCATCCTGGCTCTTGGGCCAGAACTTGAGGGGGGTGGCGGCCCAATACATCCCAAAGTCTTTGAGGTCGAAGAACTGCACAGACAGAAACTCAGCAGCATGTGAGGGATGGAGAGCTCAGAGAGTAGAGGGCTGGAGGCTGGGGGGGGGGAGGAGGTAAGCGGAAAGAGGAAGATGGAGGGGGGAAGGCGGAAGAGTCGCTGAGAGTTCCTAACCTGCCCTGCGTGCGACCAGAAGAGGGCGACTCGATGGTACGTGCTGAGCCAGACGAAGCTTGAGAGTGAGAGCACGTGTGGAGGAAACATAGCAATTCAGTTCCCTTGGCTTCCTCCCTATCGGCTCCTCACCCCTTGCTCCTCAAGATGTTTCTCATCGGATTGTCGCTTTGTTCGCGGCTGCCCGCAGCTACCCCAGGGATGACCCATCCTTCCTGCTCAGTCGGGTGAGATCAGAACGCTCAAGTGTTTGGGTCAAACCTTGCCGCTGCTGCTGCTTGATTTGATGGGAAGCATCTTGATGACGGCCTTGAGCCGATCCGGATGGAATGGTCTGCAACATTGTTAGAACATCACCTCCACTAGAGCTACAAGTGACCTTCGCCGAGTGTACACGAATGATGTGATGCCGAACTTCGTTTCGGGGTCGTCATTATGAGAGTGAGAGTGAGAGTGAGAGTGAGAGTGAGAGTGGGAGTGGGAGTGGGAGGCATCTGTACATTCAGGATCATCACAAGCAGCATCGTGGGTATGCGCATGATGGCTGTGCGATGTGTCTGTGCAGGTGGGATCGGTACAAGCAGCGTCATGCGCGTGACTGTGGTCGTGAGCATGAGATGGATCCTTGCAATCCGCATCGTTACACTCCGTGTGAGAGTGATCATGCCCGTGAACCTCCTTGACGCCCTCATGGCTAGAATGCTCTTCCTCCTTCTTGTCCTTGAGCAGAGCTGACTTGACCACGGACCGGAAGTCATCCTCATCATCGGCCTGGGCAACCCAGGAGGACCTTTCAGAGCCCAGTACCACCGACAGGTCGACCTTGCCGAACTTGGAGGGGATGATGTCAGCTGTAGGGTTGAGGAAGGATACGATTTTCTTCAATCGCTCCATCTGCCCGTCATTCACCAGGTCCGCCTTGTTGAGGAGGACGTAGTCTGCCACTTCCACCTGCTCTGTCAGCAGGTCGACGATCTTGCGGTCCGTGAAGACCATGTTGTTGTCGTCTTCGATCAAGTCTGCGCGGTCCTGGATCCCCTCAGCTGACTGGTACATGGACAGGAAATTTGCGGCGTCAACGACGGTCACCATGTTCCTCAGCTCCGCATAATCGAGCGCGGGGTGTCCTGCATACTCCATCTCGTAGAACTGCTTCCTGATGTTCTTGGGCTCCGCTACTCCGCTCAGCTCGATCACGATGCGGTCAAATGGGTCTTCTCTCTCCGCTGAGACGATCAGCAGCTTCATGATCGCCTGCTCGGGTTGTCAGCCACTTTCCTCCCCACCCTTCCCCCCTACCCCTCCCCGCCTGGTCTCCCCCATCTCCCCACCCCACCTGCAAGAGCTCCTCCGACGCTGAGCAGCATGCACAGCCGTTCTGCAGCTCCATCACATCCGAGCTGTCTACCAGCTCACCGGCGAACGATGTCAGCCCCCTCTTGGTCTCCGTCTTAACCAGCTTCGAGTCAATGTTCACAGCAGCCATGTCGTTGACAACGATTCCAACTTTCAGCCCTCCCTTGTTCTGCAGCATCTCTTGGAGCAAGGTTGTCTTCCCCGATCCCAGGAACCCAGACAGCAGAGATATCGGAATCTTCTCCTGCGAAGGCGTGAGCGGGTCCAGCAAACAGCACTTCTGCCTTACCAAGGCATCTCCATCTTCAGACATCTTCAACGCCCTCCACGACGACCCGTGGCCTCGCAATGCTGCAGTCTTGACGCTTCTTGCCCTCAAAGAGGAGGAGAATGTGCATCTGTTGTTGGATACTAGCTTCACAGGGCTCGGCATCAAGTTTGGAGTGAATGCCATGCTCCCCTTTGCTCTCGCAGGAGCTCCGAAGTTCATGGAAGCCTGCGATGACACGGCAGCATGAAACCCCAAGAGGATGAGGAAGATGAGGGTGGTGTTGTGCCTCATACCACTTCTTGCTCGTCTGCAGCAGACAGTAAGTCCCTCCTCCCACTCTCCTCTCCATCGCTCCCTCCCTACACATCGAATCCAAGAAACTCCCTCGCTCGTCCACCTGGACCCTACATGGCCTCTCAGTCCATCAACCATCACCTAGCTTATCCCTGGCTCCATTTCTTCCTTCATGTTCTCCTTCTGCTCTCTCCCTCCCCCTACCCCTCCCCCCTCCCTGCACCCCAACACGTTGCGCCTTCTGCATGGTGCATTTGTACCCCTACTCTTGTCGGTATCTCACCGTGTACCACCGGTCTTTGGACTCGAAAAATCTCGATGGAAGGAGGGGTACTTTGCTTACTACCCCCGACAAACACTAATATGGTGTAGCTTGACCAGAGGATGTGGGGGAGAGAGGGAGGGAGGGAGGGAGGAGGGAGGGAGGGAGGAGGGAGAGACAGAGGAGGGGGAGACAGAGCAGGGAGGGAGACGTTTCTTTCTTGTTGCCTGCTGACAGTGGACAGGACTCTATGGCACTCCAACAGGAGAGGGTCAGACATACAACACTCTTCACTCTTCACTCACTAACTCATCCCTGTGGATGCGACATGTCGTTGCTATCAACACGTGGGAGATCAGATCCTTTGGCATTCTTCGCTTCCATCCTCAACCTCGCACTCTCCTCTCTTGATCGTTTCGAACTCATTCGCTTCTCCTTGGGGTCGAATCCCTTCCCAAGCATGTCAGAGCACAACCATCTACATCCTACCTCTTCTTGCCTGTTCTTCCGCTCCAAACACCGCCCATGGCGGAGTTGGCGCTATGTAAGACATCACATCGAGCTCCTTCGTTTCCAGCCATCTAAGCACACATCAACCTTGGACAGTCTCGTGCGAGCACGCTTCTTGTTTTCAGGATGGTCAGAGGTGAATACCTCCTCCATGCCGTGATGAACTTGTCGTAGTCGATGTGGGTGTGCCATTGCTGTCCTATCAGGTAACGACGCGATGCGATCAGGATGCAGCAAGAGTGCTCGTGCTCGCTAGCGATCTGTTGCAATCAACGTAAGAGGAGGAGGGGAAGAGGAGGACGAGGGCAACAGAGATCAGTAAGAGCGGGGGGCGGAGGGGGCGATGTAGTAGGAGAGTGGGAGCCTCGGGCGTCAAGACTTACATCATATTCATCCTCCACCGAAGGTTCGGCCCTGATCGCCTCGACAAGTTCCCTCGCAAACTGAACCACCTCTGAGTGGAGAGGAACGCTTTCCATGGTGATCTCCGATGCCTGGAGGGTAAGATGTCAGTCTGTTGTTAACTTGCAATCTGTTGAGGTGCGGGAGGGCTCGATCTGACGATAGAATGGGTGTGGGAGGAGACGTATGCAAGAGATGATAGATAAAGGTGATCGCATGCTATGAGAATGAAGCTGAAAACAGAATTGCAACATCTCCATTCGTGCCACAACATGACAGGGGGAGTTGCAACGCATCGACAAGCTTGGAGCAGCTGTCGGGCCTAGGAGGGGAGCGACTGCTCACCTTTGAGGTACCACAATAGGTGACGCCCTTGATCTCGATGAAGTGCGGCCTCCCAAGGGCGACCAGCTTCGCGTAGTTTGCAACGTCGTCAACATTCTTGTCCTTCACTAGGGTAAGACGGTAGACTGGAGGCGGTCAGGTTGAGGTGACGTCTGCTGACCAACTTCACCTGTCCTACAGTCTTTGTCCTTGAGAGCTCTTAGCGACTGAGCTAGCCGGCTCCAGCTGTCCTCGAACAGAGGCCTGAGAAAATATTTCAGAGGCTTGTCCTTGGTCAGAAGGACTTGTCGCAGACGCACATCACCTCATTACATCATGACAGCACTCCCAACTTCATCTACAAACATCATCTTCCAACATCTTCTACTGACATCATCTGCTAACGTCATCTTCTAACTCATCCGCTAACATCATCTACTGACATCATATCCTGACATCACATCCTGACATCATATCCTAATTCATCTGCTAATATGATCTAGTTATATCATATCACCTACTGGCATCATCTTTTAACATCATCTATCAACATCATCTTGTATTCTCTACCATCATCTTCCACCATCATCCGGTTGTCACCTGTCAATCTTGGTGAGGGTCTCCGGGTTCGCGGCATCGATGGAGACGTAAAGCTGGAATGAAGATGTTACCACACACTTTCTTAATCCATCTATTGTCCTGCTCCTGCTCCTGCTCCTGCTCCTGCTCCTGCTCCTGCTCCTGCTCCTGCTCCTGCTCCTGCTCCTGCTCCTGGTCCGGCGCCGGCTCCAGCTCCAGCTCCGGCTCCTCCCTCCTTCACTATTAAAAAAAAAAGGGAAAAAAGAGGGAGGTTTATGTGTTTTTTTTTTGACGTTGAGGAGGGGGT